CGCTCGAGCGTAAGAAGTCTCGCTGGAGCGAAGAATACTACCTCCCCAGTATCTCTACAGGCCTGCAAAAGTACTGGGAGCTCACAAAGCTCGCTCGAGCGAAGAGGCCAAATTCTGGACAATAACAGTTTGAACCAACTAACAACCAACCTGTTCCAAACACAACCAAGACACTCCAATACCCAAACTCAATGAGAAATAAGAAGAAACATGGTATGAATATCTAAATAAGACAAATAAAACCCAGATTCAAAACATCAAAGGGTCGGGTCTAAACAAGGAGCGCTATAATTATAATATTTGGATGGCTAAAAATTTAGCAAAACATCAATCCTCCCAATCTGTCTCCTTCTCCCGAGCCCCCTCTTTATTCCCTACTAAACACCCTAAGCCTCTTCTAATATCCCTCTCAATCCTTCCCTAAATACCACACCTCAAAAGGTTGGTTTGAAAAATAGTCTTAGTTTTAAATGTATATTTCAAAATTAATTAATATTGAGTACAATGCAAGAAAGATTAATTCAATATTAATTCATTGAATTAATCATAACATATTTACCCAAAGAATACATGATTAGTTATTAATATCAATTGAAAATAATATATTATAAAGACTTAATTGAAAAATTTTAATTGATTATTTTGCATCACATAAAGTAAGAAAAATAATATTTAAATTAAAAAAAATATAATATTTAAAATGTATAAAAAGAAGCCTTATTAATTTTATTTTTTTTAAATTACGCCCCATAAAAATTAGAAAAAAATAGTGAAACATCCCTCTTCAATTTTGTATAGTAGGAGAGGTCCAAGATTTTTTTTTTATTAGCTAAGGTTCCTCAACATTTTCACAGGGAATTTTTGAAATTTCTTTCACAGAGAAATTTCAAAATTTTTCTGTGAAAATTAATTTTTTTGAGTTAGGGTGTAATTTCTTTGAGTCATGTAAAATTTTTCTGAGTAAAATTTTCTCTGTGAAAATGTTGAGAGACGTTAATTACTATGAAAATATTATATGTTTTTTTATCTTATAAAACCTTAATATCAGGGACCTTAAAAAAAATTCCTCTAAAAATTAAGCTTCCTTTGCCACAAAATCCACAAGTACACCATCCCCTCCTATGGCATAAATATAAGATTAAAGGGCTAGTTTGAAATTTTTTTAATCAAGATAATTAAAATATTTAAAAATATTTTTTAAAATTTTTACAAAAAAAAAGTGTAAAAAATAGGGGGAATGTTTATGAAAAAAACAAAAAACAAGTTCTATGTTTTTTATGGTCTCGTTTGGGAACTTGAAATGGGTTTAATTAGTAGTCAATACAAAAAATTAAGCTTTCTTTGCCACAAAATCCACAAGTACACCATCCCCTCCTATGGCATAAATATAAGATTAAAGGGCTAGTTTGAAATTTTTTTAATCAAGATAATTAAAATATTTAAAAATAGTTTTTAAAATTTTTATAAAAAAAAAGTGTAAAAAATAGGGGGAATGTTTATGAAAAAAACAAAAAACATGTTCTATGTTTTTTATGGTCTCGTTTGGGAACTTGAAATGGGTTTAATTAGTAGTCAATACATCATACGAGTATAAATATATTTATAAAAAAAAAAATTAAAAAACGCCCTTCAGGGGATGGGTTCAGTGGTTAGAGATCGGCCTAAAAACGCTTTCACTCGGTTTCGATCCTTCATCGCCTCTCGGTGTGACGCCTTTATGCATTACCTCAAGCAATGTCTTAATCCGGTGCTGGGAAGTCGTGGAACCTGCGCTACTTTTTTTTTCTTTCACCAAAAAAGAAAAAAAAATTAAAAATTAAAAAACACAAAAAGCCAAAAACATTCATTTCATGTTTTATTTTGAATTAAATTTCTAGTAAAAATCACATTTTAGAGAACTTTTCCATTATTTTTTCATGTTAAAACTTAGCATTCTCTTCAACAATATAATTTAGTGGGGTTATTTTGATGAAATTTCAAAATATCCATTACTTTTTTTAATTTATTCCATGATATTACAAATTATTAGTTAAAATATTAAACAAACCCTAATTATCTATAAAATTTCAGTGGATTCAATTGAACCCACAAGCTGTCATGTAGTTAGGCCCATGAACTTAACTATTTTAGTTTTTGTTTGGGAAGAGTTAAAATAGCTTGACTTTTTATTTTTTTTATTATTTTAGCCTGATTTTTTTAGTCTGGCTTTTTTAGCCTTATTTGGTTTTTGTTTTTGGTTTTTTTAATTTTTGTGAGAGAAAAAAATATAATGATTATGATTTAGATGTGACATTTTGTCTTATTGACTTATGTAGTCAATTTTGTCTTTTGTGTTTATTTAGCCAAAAAGTCAAACCAAACATAGCTTAGTTTTTTTGATTTTTTGATTATTTTATGAGATGAAAAAAAAAATTATGTTTGGAATAATTTGTAGATTTTTTTGTAGTTAAATAGATAGTTGTGAGAGAAAAAATGATTGATTGATGTGTATGATGTGAAATTTAATTTAATGACTATTTTAATATATACATTTTTAATTTTTATTGACTATTTTAACCCCCTCCAAAAAAAAAATGATGTCAAACAAGGCATAGTTTACTCTGCTAAGAATTATTGATTTGATCCAAGAATTTCAGATCTACCTGAAATCGAGTAATGCTAGAGACTCATATTTGAGACCTTCAAATTCACCCATAATAATGTGGTAAGGAAAGAAGTAGAGTCTCACATTGATCATATCATAGGGGTGTTTGGCAACTTAGGTTTAGGCTATTTTTTGGCTAAAATCCACAAAAAGATAAAATAAGTTAAAATAGCTAATAAGATAAAATGTCACATTAAACTCATAATCATTTCATTTTTTCTCTTACAAACGTTACATCCAATTATAAAAAAAAAATTCAATTATCTTTCCATACACAAAAATTTTAACCTATTAAAATAACTAACTTTTCAAACACCCACTAAAAAGTTGACAGCTATCGTTTCACATTGTGAGGGCTTATTAGGGGTTTCAAACATTTCCCTCCCCTGAAACCCAACTTGAATGAAGTATGAAGTTAGAATTAAGGCCTCGTTTGGGAATAGGCTATTTTAGTAATTTTTTGGCTATTGACTAAAATATGAGGTGAGAAAAACTAGTATGTTTGGGATGATTTTTTGACTTTTTACGAAAAGATGTGCAAAAAGTAGAGAGAAAATAGAATTTTTGACTTTTTTGGTATAATTTATTGGCTTTTTAATTTTTTTAATAACTTTTTGACTTTTAAGTTAAAACAGCCACTTACCAAACGAGGCCTAAATGTGGATCGTTGCGATGAGAATAGGGTTGATGTTTGTGTCTCGTGACACAACACTCATTCTGTAAGGCTTTGTGGGGGAGTGTCATGAGTTTTTTTTAATAATCATAATTGTTCATATTATAGGATTCGTTAAATATATTATTTATAAAAAAAAATTTAAATTAATCAAACATATATAAATCCATGATCAACCATAATTATTTTTATAAAAATTATACAAATTGGTTATATTTGTTTAAAATAAATGTAACTTATTATGAAATTATAAATATCTAATTAATTCAATTTTTTTTTAAATAAATAATCTACCCGACTAATCTTATAATACTCTCTCCGTCCCAAAATATTAGTCTCTTATTTCATTTTTTATTATCTCAAAATATTAGTGCATTTTCAAAAATTAAGTACAAAAATAATATAACTTACCTATTTTGCCATTCTTTTAAATTCATTAACAATATAAAAAGTACAATTATGCTATTGATAGTTCTTAAAAAATGTACTATCAAAAGATAATTTAAAAAAATTAAATTTTAAAAGTGTAATAATTATATTACCATAAAAAATTAAAGGGTAAATTACATTGACACCCTCTGAATTTTATGTTTATTACAGTTCTCCCCACCTTTTGAAAATTACATTCTCTTCCCTGAGATTTAAAGTTTCATTAAAGATTACTTCTTCTAGCAATTTAATTTTTTTAAATAACAATTTTGCCCTCACTGGGTAAATTACATTGACACCCCTCACATTTTAGAAATTACAATTTCCTCTCCAAGGTTTAAAGTAACATTACCAATTGTTCCATCGGTTAGTATTAGTTGAAAAAAAAATTAATTGGAAAAAAAATTATTTGAAAAAAATTTTGTTAGTCAAAATTTTTAAATTTCTGTTTGAAAACCAATGTAAGATAAAAATTACACTGACACCCCTTGAGGTTTATGTTTATTACACTCGAAAGATAAAAATTATATAAAAATGATAATTATTTTTTATTTTTTTATTTCTTAACTAAATTAATTTTTAATTTAAAAAAAATTCTAAAAATCAAACCATACATAGTTTAAGAATCATTTGATAAGTCATTTCTTACGTTGATAAATTATTTAATAATTTGTTAATTTTATGATATTTTTACCATCTGAGGCCTGTTTGGTAACCATTTTGTTTTCAATTTTCAATTTATATATATATATAATTTTTTTTTTAAAAACTATCATAAAAACTTGTTTGATAATTGTTTTGATTTATAAATGGTTGTCTCAGTTTGTAAATTTGAGAAAAAAATGTAAATTCAAAAAATGAGTTTACGTTGATTTTTAAATAGAAATTTAAAAATTTGACTAACAAAAAAAAAATTTCAAATACTTTTTTTTCCAATTAATTTTTTTTTTCAATGAATTTTTTTTCAACCAATACTAATCGAGGGAGCAATTGGTAATGCTACTTTAAACCTTGGGAAGAGAATTGTAATTTTTAAAATGTGAAGGGTGTCAATGTAATTTACCCAATGAAGGTAAAATTGGTATTTAAAAAGATTAAATTGTTGGAAGGAGTAATCTATAATAAAATTTTAAATCTCAAGGAAGGGATGTAATTTTCAAAAGGTGAGAAAAAAAATTATAATAAATATAAACTTTAAGGGTCTCAATATAATTTACCCAAAATTAAATTTCCCGGAAGCGGCCATTATTTTGAGACGAGAGGAGAGGAGTATAAACTTTTGAACACGCCTCTGCGGGCGCTCACATGGCACAGCACCTACACCAAGTCCCCGTTGAGACTCGAGGAAGCGGAAGACACACCACACACGGCGCACGTTAGGAGGCACCCCCCTCCAGCCCGCCACGTAGCACACAAACCTTAAAACTGTTCAAAACAATGCACGTTGGTTTAACCGCGCAACTGTGCGAAACCAACACTTCCTGCGCAAGTTATCATCGTCCCCTCCATTTTCGAGGTCCTCTTCTCTCTCTACTCTCTCTCCTCCATCACAGAACCAGTATCCGTAGTCGGAGGTAATTCTCTGTATTTTCGATCTTGTTAAATCAATTTTATCGTTTTTCGGTTGTGCATTTGGAAGTTTTGTGGTTCGTGAATTTGCAAAATTGTTGGGTACTTGTAAATCTAGGGTTTTGTTTTCATCGGAGTTTGTTATTTTTGCTGTCATTTCGAATTGAGAGCTACGAACAGAAATGCAAGGTTGTGGAGTTGTGATTTGATGGTATCGCGGTTTTGTTTGGTTGCTCAGAAAGTTTAGGAAAAAAGATAAAAGAAAATCAAGCTTCTTATTAATAGATTATATATAGTTACATTTGTATGTATGCTAATTAATTAGGGCCCTGAAAGATTTTAAATTGATATGCTTTGAACCTAAAACTATTAATTGTTTAGTTGAGTTGATTATTTATTTATTCCTGAGAAAATCAAATTTATTGCTGACATGGTACTTTGTTTTGTTTTGTTTGTTTTTTTCCAGCTAGATTTTCTCTGCAATAATGGAGGGTTTTGATTTAAAGTTTTCAGGCTTCAACCGACGTATTAGTGTATCAATTTGACATTGGGTGAGTTAGTGTCTTTCATACATACAAATACATGTGTATACATTTTTCTTAGTCTGTATTTGGATCATGGATTTGGATGGGGATGGGGAAAGCGAAAGGGAAAGGGAAAAGTGAGTGAAATGTGAATGAAATATAGTTACATTTCACACGCTTTCTCTTTTTCTTTTCAAATCCCTATCCAAATCCATGATTCAAACATAGCCTTAGAGTCTTAGACTATTATTAATTGATCCTTTTAAATAATTTTATACAATGACATGATTGGTGGGTTGTAATTTCACAATTAACATCCCCAACCAACTGCATTGACACCCTTGCTTTCATTTCTTTAGAAGCATGAATAAAATTTAAAGGGGAATTGCAAATTAGTGAGAAATAGAGAAAGTAATAGCAAAATTATGGAGGTGCAAGTGAGAGCTTTGTTGTAAGCCACAGTTTTTACTTGCATCAAAGCACATACCTTCTTGCACCTCCATGATTTTGCAATTACTTTCTCTACTTCACATTGATTTGCAATTCCCCTTAAATTTAATCCACAAGTTCCATTTGCAATGCTGCCTTTGGAGTTACTTTTAGTTTTGATTCCTTTAGTTTTGATATGCTTATGCTAAGTCTTTGAGTCTTGGCGTTATGGCCTTTTCTGAAAATTGATTTGCTCTCTGCTTGAACCTCATTATGAATTATGATACCATGCCGCTCCTAGTGCTGTGGGTGACTCATGAGATGGATATGTAGTTGTTGGCTACTTTTGGTTATCTTGTCATGTCCTGATTTTTTTATTTTCAACTTGACAGGTGTTATATTTCATGATATTTAAATTAGATGTATTCTCTGTACCCTGTTCGACAATATATTTCTGGGTTTGGTGTAAAGTTGGTTTGAACGTTGTTATAATACTGCACTTGTAGTGGCATCTCTACCTTATCTGGAAATGACCATTGCTGGTTCTTTTTTACTCTCCCGTGAATTGGGAATTCACAGTGCTTGTGGATACAATTATCAACCTAAGGTGCGCGATTTGCATGTCAAATTATAGACTTTTCCCATGTGTTTTGGATTGCCAGGATGGCCAATGCTTTTAATTTATTTATTTTTATTTTGGGTCTAAATGTTATTACAGGGTATGGTAGGCAAGGGAAGCTTACATTTGTTCAGTGTCACTCTTTCATCACACGCTATGGTATTCTTGTCTTTTAATTCTGTGTCTCCTCTTAAAAATGTTGCCAGTGTGTGTATAATGTATATATGCCACTTTATTGCACTCTTAGAATCTTAGAACTGCATAGCTGTAAATGTTCTATACTAATACTGCAGGGTATCTTGTTATGGCGTTTTGTCTTCATAGCTTTTCAGGATAGATTGTGTGCTCTAATACTGCAAGTGAAAGTTTTGTGAGATCTGAGTTTCTGGTGTATTACATTCTAAAACTTGGTGGGTATAATATCATGTGGCTGTGCATTTGAAGTATGCAAGTTTGAATTAAACAGGTTGTCTTACATTTTTTTTTTTGAAGCAAATAAGTCACTGAGCTTTAACTTTAATCTGGGAGAACTTTTTCCCAAACTAAGGGGTGGTTTGGGATGATCTAAATAAGTGCACTTTTTGACTTTTTATGAAATATGGGTTGGGTTTGAAGTGATGTGTTAGAGAGGTGATGTGACTTAAATAAGATGATATGACTTAAATAAGATAGTGACTTTTTGACTTTTTGGCATTTTTAGATCATGCCAAACAAGGCCTAAGAGTTGGTTATTTTACAATTATATAATATTCTCTTACCAGAAGGTGTTTATTGTATGATATTTCAGTAGCTTGTCACTAAGATCTATATTTCATTGTTCTTTTTAGAAAGTTAATACTTTTGTAGTAAGCATTTTTGTTAGAGGATTTTTTTATTTATTTTTCTAAACTACTTGAACTGAAACAAAGATCTATTTAAGAAGTTTTTATTTGGTTTATACTGGTCTTATGTTTGTCTTTTATGAGAAACTCAGAGCACTTATATGTGCTCATTTGTGCATTTTCATGTGCTTATTTGTGCATGTGACATCAATGGAGCCTATAGTTCTCCTACCAATTTGTTTTAACATCTGCAGCGACAGGATGCTTGGTGTCACCGTCTTTTATACAATCTCAGTGAACCAAAAAGTTCTCTATCATCCAGATGTAATGTTTTCCAGTGCCGATCCTTTCTAGTTCCAAGTGAAGGCATTGGAATTCCTGTTCTGAAAACTGCTGCCACACTGACAAGGTATAAATGTGGTGGTGGTGGTGTTGTTTATTTTATTTTATTTGTATTTTTTAATTTGCTTGCGTCAGTTCGTATTTGCATGCATGCTATGTACTACAAACGTTGCTTGTGTTGTTTATGAGGTTTATTTAGTTCCTTGTCTTGGCTAATTGGCTAATTCCATCTTGTTCTTGCTCTTTTTGTTTGTTTGGTTCGGTCCTTTCGGATAGAAAATTAGCCAAATCTATCTTTTGCCAAACTAGTGCAATGCACAATGCATTGTTTATATAGCAACCTCATGTAAATTTATTTATGTGCTGCCATGACTATCCGTTGTTTGTATTTATAGGCTTACTATATACAACTTAATGCTGTCCAACATTAAAAGAAGTTAAGAATCTATGAGTAAGATGCATCTTTCCTTTCTCTGGTTAAAGTCTTAAGGCATCAAAAGTCATAGTTCCTAGATCTTTTCTATTTAGCAATAAATTCAGACCTAATGTTTTGATGACATTCACTCACTTGTCTTCTAATTTGGTCCCTGCCCACAGGGGTCATGTACATTTCACTGCTTTGTAAAAAGACTTTTTGATAAGCATATTTATGGTCGTAGCCACCTATTTCTAAGATGAAGCTCAAAATTTCAAATCTCCTAAGGATAGTATTTTTTTAAAAAACTTTTTTACACTAATATCTTATATCTAACTTCTGTAAAACATTTGTCCTATTTAAATATCTGTTAAATAGATAAGAGGGTTTCAAGAAATAGTGATTGAACATGTAGAGTTGTGCAAGATTGATGGAGACCAAGCTAGGGGAGAGAACCAAAGGTCTTTTTCAGCAGGGGGGAGAGCAAGAAAGACAGGAAGTAGTGGAAGTTTTGAAGGAGACTAGATCACTTGAATCTCTAGGTATTGAAGGTGCTTGCTTGCATGCTTAAGGAGATGGAGGTTTTCTATTGATGAGAGTGGGCACACATTTATCCTAGTTGGCACAAGAGCTAGGAGGTAGTCTCCTTTGAGTCTGATACAATGTCTAGCACCATTGTAACTGTGATACACTAAGACTAAGAACAGACACGCAACGCGACATGGACATAGACAGGTTGGCACAATAATTTAAAAAAAATACTGAACACGACATTTGGGGTACACACAAAATATATAATTTTATGTTTTTATTATATATCGTATATATAAATATTTCACTCGAAGATAATAATAAAAGTGTAACATAACACTAATTTCTAAAGTTTAAAGAAGAAATGATTAAGTTTATAAATTTCGTTTGTTTCTTTTATTATTGGACCCCAACTTATTTGGTTCAAACTTTTAATATGTTTCATGCATATCTAAACAGTGGACACGTGTGTGTGTGTGTGTCCCACATGTCCAAAGCGTGCCTAGATCTAATAGGACATGTTTGGACGTGTCTTCGACACATGTCAGGAATATCCAATGAGTGTCGGTGTTCGACATGTACATGTCACCTTCTTAGAAGTGTCCATACTATTAGGCGATAGAGAGAGACAAGAATAGTGGAGATCATGGAATGTGCTCCTAGGTATGGAGGGTGTATGGAGCTTGACACATGTTCTTGGAAGATAGGGGCCATGTAGGAAGTAGGAAAGTGTGTGTGTGTAAGACTAGTCAGGGTACATTTTCCATAGAAGGGAACAACAGCTTGACGAACCCTTGACACTAGCCAATGATGCTTCAGTGGTGGTCATAGCAATATTGTCAAAGATACACTTGATTGTCTTCTTCGCTCAAGGAGTTCCCAAAGCCCTACTTTTGACCTGTAGCCACCACTAATGCATTGGTGGGGGGGGGGGGGGGGGGGGGCGGGGGATTGGTTTGGTGAGGTATGAAATGGAGGGTGTGAGCTAGCCAAGCCTATTGTACTGAGCTTGGAGAATACCTCGTTATTGCCCCCAGATCTTAGGTTCGAGGCCAGGGTGAAGAAACCAACTGTTACGGTTTTGTAATTCAAACAGAATTTTGTAATTGCTTTTATTCAACAGGTAGCACGCTATAGGTTTTGTTGCCTGTTAGTTGTTAGTCACTTCTGCCCTGTCATTTATATTCATATTCATTATCTAAATGCTTAGATGTGTGTATATGTATCACTGGGACTAATTGTCCTGATTGATCAAGTGTTGGTTTTGTTCCTTGTTCCTATTTTTTTACATTTTTAAATTTACTTATTTCTGTAATTCACTTCTCTCTCTCTCTCTCTCTCTCTCTCTCTCTCTCGTGGAGTGGGGGTGGGGGAGGGGTTGGAATTTTACATGTCAAATTTCTTAACAACGCCTTTTCTCTTTCAAGTTTCTTTCTCTTCTCTCCCATTTTTTCTTCAGATGATCTCTCTGCAATCTTTTCTCATGGTAATGCAGGTCATATAATGCTTTTCATGGAAGCCCAATTGTACTTCAGTTGGTTCCAGCAGTTGGTATCATTGCCTTTGCTGGGTGGGGTCTTGGGCCACTGATGCGTATGAGCAGGATTATTTTCCTTCATGTACAGTTACTTTTGTTATTTATCTGTTTTTTTTCCTGGCATTGTGTTTACTTTATTTTCTCTCAGCAATTTTTGCATCCCTTAATTGGCTGATGGTTCCCTGATGAAATTTCCTGCAGAAGAGTGACAGTAGTTGGAAAAAAAGTAGCTCACACTATCTGATGACCTCATATCTCCAACCTCTGCTTCTATGGACTGGAACAACACTTACCTGCAGGTTTCAGAACCTTTGTTATTTCTTCACTGCAAGAAATTAATGTTTTATATATGACTTGACACTAATTGTTAGCCTCTTTGGTGCTAACTAGAAAGTTTTTCCTTCAGGGTGTTGGATTCAATAATTTTACCTGCAGAAGCAAGCCAAGCTGTCAAGCAACGACTTTTGGATTTTATTCGATCATTATCTACAGTGCTGGCCTTTGCATACTGTTTATCAAGGTAGTGTAGTAGCTGTCACAGTCATATCTCTTTTGGAACTGGTGAATATAGTCATCAAACCATTTAATTGAGTGTTGATTAAGCAATGAATGGCTTATTCATGGATTGGTTATTAATTAGTATATCTTTCTCAAAGATAATAAACTGAATCATGATTAACCATTTGATATTTCTAGTATTTTGAACTGCAAACATAAATGTGTTCTAGCTTTTAAGTTTTTTTTTTCTTTTTTTCCACTGATATCTGGTAATTACTTCATTTTCCCCTTTCTTTCCTTGTTCACTAGTAATGTCCTAATTCATTTATTTTACCACAGTTTATTTTTATCTTATTGGATTCTGGTCACTTTATGTGTTGGATTCACGGTGAGGTTTGCATCGTGATGTTTGAATACATTCATATTCTGTTTTGGCAGCTTGATTCGACAAACACAAAAATTCTTTATGGAGACAAATGACTGTAATGATGCAAGAAATGTATGTTTCTGTTACTTCAAATTTTCAATTGTTTATCATATTTTATTTTATTAGATTTAAAAGATTTGAAGGTAGCTTTTGGTTGACAAACACTTGCCATGTCTTTGCGAAGTAAAGAAACTCAACTATCATTGATATTGGAGAAAGAGGATTAGAGGTCTCTGTACTTAATGAATATCAAATGGAAACCTAGGCTACAGTATTGTTGAATAACTGCAAATAACTTAGAACACAACAATAAAAAATGACATGCTGATGCCTTAGTATATTTGTCTTAATCATGACACCTTGTTTAAGGGCATACAATGTGGTTTATGACTTTATTTAATTTTCTGTAAATGGTAAACTCTTTATGCTTCATTGGAAGAAGGTAATTATTATTACTTGATGAATTGCCTGCTTTATCCAACAGCAGTGGTTCACACCATTTTCATGATTTTGTTTTCCATTGGGAATAGCAGACCCTCTAATAATCTCTTATCAATATTCTGTAACTTTCACATTCTCTTCCCTTAAAAGGGGAAAAAGAAAACAAAAGAAAGAAATTACAAGCACCATTTTCCTTTAATGTTTTCCTTTCATGTGCATACTAGCAAAGCTTGATGAATTTATATGGATGCCATTGGTTAAAATGACTTTTCCTACAGATGCTAGGTGAACAAGGAGTACCTTATTTTCTTTGCAGAGATCATTTGATTTGTATACTTCAATGAAATCGGAGTAGCCAGCTGGTGTAAGCTATTGGTTTCAGACTGTGGAATGCTGATGATATCATGTTTCTTTCTTATTTGTTTGATGACATCAACATGCCACGGTCATTGTTATTCTTTTCTTACACTTTAAAAAAAAAAAAAAAACCTTGTTTGTTTTCAGAAAATTAAGTTTTTTGTTTTCCGTCTTTTTTTTTTGTTTTTAGTCAAAATTTTTAATATTTTAAGATTTTTTTATTTTTATTTTTTAGATGCATCTAACCTAGATACACTTAAAAAGTATAATATTTATGGAAAATATCTTTAAGATATTCTTCAAATACAAAAAGTACAAAATATATATATATATATATATATATAAATTCAGTACATTTTCATATTCTTGTATATTTATTGAATTTTTAAAATATTTTTTTTACAAATATTTTACTTTGTAGGGGCATCTAAGTTATATGCATCTAGAAAGTAAAAAATTTACTTCAAATATTAACAAAATTCACTAGAAACAAAAAAACATGAAAAACAAAAAGCTCAATTTTCAGAAAATCAATCAAAACCAAACAAGGTGAATAGTATTCTTTTCTCATCAATTTGTTTCTTATGCTTCCTTCTAATCCATTCAAGGATATCTCAACATGCAGACATTTTATAGATCGCATCTGTTGATTTACTTTTTGAGGAAGGATAGATGCATAGTTTCCTCTTCCAAATTTGAATTTTTTGTTTCACTTATTTTTTTAAACCACTCTTGGCTTTTTTGGTTAGGAGCTATGAATCAATTATCCAATTAACCTGAGGCTGCTGTCAGAGTAACATAAATACTCATTCCTCAATTACAATTTCTTAATTTGCAGATGGGCTTCCAATTTGCTGGGAAAGCTGTTTATACTGCAGTATGGGTTGCTGCTGTTTCGTTGTTTGTGGAATTGCTTGGTTTCTCTACCCAAAAGTGGCTTACTGCTGGGGGTCTTGGCACAGTATTGATCACCCTTGCTGGTCGTGAGGTATAACCTGTTTCTTTTTCCTTATCCGGTGAAACCTACATGCTTGCATCAAACAGCCAGTCTACGGACCATAAAAACATTCACTTTTTTAGTGTCTTGTTAAGAAGGGTAATTCTCATTTGTACTAAAGCTTGATTCACATTTTTTTATTTTATTCAGATATTTACAAATTTTCTTTCAAGTGTAATGATCCATGTGACTCGACCATTTGTTGCAAATGAAAGGATTCAAACAAAGATTGAAGGCTATGAAGTTTCTGGTTCAGTGGAGGTTTGTGATTTATGTCCATTTATTCCTCAGAAAAGGGGATTCTGGGATAATAAACTAGGAAAGTATAATCTGCAAATGCATGCATGTCATTCCTTTACTTGCAGCTACTCATACATATATAACAATCTGATTTTTGTAAGATGTTGACTTAGAATTTGATGTCGTTTCAGCATATGGGCTGGTGGTCACCAACAATCGTAAGAGGTGATGATCGTGAAGCAATTCACATTCCAAACCACCAATTTACAATAAATGTGGTGAGGAATCTTAGCCACAAGACTCATTGGCGCATCAAGATGTACCTTGCCATCAGTCACTTGGATGTCAATAAGATTAATGTGAGTGTACTCGATTCATTTGTTTGCCAACAATAGTCTGTGCAATCACTGGCATGTTTTTTTCCTTGCATGTTATGAAGTATTGGTCATCCCTTGTTGACAGAATATTGTAGCTGATATGCGCAAGGTTTTGGCAAAAAATCCTCAAGTCGAACAGCAAAGGTTGCATAGAAGAGTATTTCTGGAAAATATCAACACAGAGAATCAAGCTCTTATGGTTAGTATTTCATAGTGTGCCCTCTGATTTATTAACTTTTACCGAGTGTACAACCTGATGATAATAGCTTTCTGGGAATTTTGTTGATATCTTGGTTTACTTGAGTTACCAAAACTCAACATGGAGTACTTTGGTTGAATTGCATTCTATGGAGACAATGAGTTGCAGATTCATGGCTGCATAGACATCTTGGTTGACAACATATTCATAGGATATGCACGTGCTAAAATTTGCCCACAAAATGACATGTATTAGCCAAAATATATCTTCTTTTTTTTGTTTTTGATAAATATTAGCCCAAATATATCGTTTGACATTACCACTACATACTTTTATTTATTTTATAAAAGGTCACTGTTATTTATTTCTCATGTTGCATAAAATTATGTTCTTGTTCACACCCTTTTTTAGCAAATCATCTCAATTGCATTATCAGAAATGTGGAATTAACTATATTGCTTTCATGTTGGTAGTTATATAAATGGATGATTGATTGTGAACAAAGCTTTTAAGATCTTTAATTTCATTATGTTACAGATTTTGGTGTCTTGCTTTGTGAAAACCTCACATTCTAAAGAATACCTCTGCATCAAGGTAACTGTCATTTATTGCAATTGAATTTTTGTGATTTGAATAGATGTTTCATGCAGCTTACAACAGAACTAATCATGAAATTATGAAATTCGACTATACAGAATGAAATGTTTTGGTAAGTAATTATAATTTCAAAACAAAATTTGTAATATCTACTAATCAAGAAGGGTAAAGAATCAGAACTCAGTTAAGAAGCTTACTAAAGATCCTACAGTCATACCCCTAGGATAAGAGCACATCAGCACAGTGATCAGGGAATTACAGAACAAAAACAAAATTCTCATATTTGAACTGACCAGTGGAACAACTTGTCCATTAGCTCACCAGAGGACAATATCACTCATTTTCCTCAACTGCCCTTACCAAATTATGGAACCAAAAATCTCCATAAGCTGCAAGGAAGCATTGTAAAGCTAAAACTTTATCATGATATTACCATTAATGAAGAACAAGTGTTAAACCATACCAGTCCTACTTCAGCCGCAGCAAAAGCATATATCTAGACAAGAAGCCCAATTGCATAGTGTAGCAGCCATTCTCATCACCCCACCGAACAAGCAGACAAACAGGTCAAAAACAGCCACAAAACAAACACCAATGCCATATTTCCATTTTGTAAATTCTGTAGTTGGGCTTGTCATTAATGAGCCTTGACAACATTCTAGCATTCAATAAGAGATTACTTGTATGTTAGTACAATATTGAATTTACAAAGCAGCACTGCAATATCTGTGGAAGGAAATCTTTATACTCTAGTTCCATACCAAATTTGGGTCTTGTGAAGCCTTTTCAAAGATGGAAAGAGTAGTGCGTCCTTAGTTCGCACCTGTTTCTCAATGCTGACCAGTATCCCAGCTCACTTCTATTGTCTTTTTTTGGGTTGGAGTTTCATGACATTAGTTTTGGTAGGAATGTAGCAAGTAGTATAACTTGGCCCAGGTCTTATTATATGTTTCCGTAACCTCATTTTATATGATCATGCCTTATTATATGAAGGAAAGACTTCCTAATGTTGGATTGCAAGGAAAGATGCTTAAATTCTGTATTTACTACTTAGTTTTAAAACTTTGACCAACATGCAAATCAAGGCTGCTTCTGATCACCAATATTTACATCGCTTCACATTGAATGGGGAGAGAAAAAAGGAAAATAAAAATAATAAAAAATCTTATTAACTATTTTATTTGATTGTCTTAGTAGGCTTCATTGATTTAACTTGACTCATCTTCAATGACTAGCTTCATGAATTATAAATTTTTGTGGACAACTTTTCAAAATTCCGGTTAGCATTGCAAGAAAGATTGAGAAACTGATGAGAGATTTTCTCTGGGAAGGGTGTGATGAGGGTAAAGGGGTTCATTTGGTTAGGTGGGAGACTGTTTCTCTTTCTAGGGCAAAAGGTGGCTTGGCTATAGGAAACATCGTTGCTAGGATATTGCTTTCTTGGGCAAGTGGTTGTTGAGATTTCCTCTTGAAAGTGAGTCGTTATGGTGTTCAGTTATTAAAAGCAAGTATGGAGTTTAATCCAATGGTAGGAATTTTAATGTGGTTAATAGAGGCAATTGTCGTTCACTGTGGAAATTCATTTCTCGTTTCTATCCTCTTGTGTCTAATTTTTTTTCATTCAGAGTTGGGAATGGGAGAATGTTCGGTTTTGGGAGGATGTTTGGTTAGGAGATATTTTGTTTGCTAGATCTTTTCCCCTTCTTTACAGGTTGGCTCGTTCTCCAAATGTGTCAATAGCATCGGTGGCTTGCTCGTCTATGGCACCCATCTCCTGGAATTTTGATCTCATTATAAACTTGAATGATAGGGAGGGGGGGAAGTTGGCATCTTTGTTGGTAGTGCTAGAGGGGGTTTTTCTTTCTTCGTCTTTTGATAGTAGGGTGTGGAATTTTGTCTCTTCAGGGGTCTTTTCATGCAAATCCTTTTTTGACAAGATTATTGATAATCCCTCGGTTCCCTTGTTCCCTTTTCATAAGAAAATTTGGAAAGCAGATGTCCCTCATAAAGTGAAGTTTTTCATGTGGTCTTTGGCTCAAAAGGGTGTTACAACTAATGATGTTTTTCAGAGGAGAATGCCTAATCACTCTCTATGCCCTCAATGGTGTATGATGTGCAAGAGAAATTTGGAGGTAGCAAATCACCTTTTTCTTCATTGCCCGGTGGCATCTGTATTATGGCAGCGTCTTTTCAAGTTATGTGATGTGCAGTGGGTTGCTCCACGGGAGTGTATGCATATGCTTCTTATTCGGTTTGACGGGTTTGGGAGTACCAAGAAAGCCAAAACTATGTGGATAGGCATTGTTTTTGCTATTTTCTGAGTTATATGGTTGGAGAGAAAAGCTCGAATTTTTGAAGGTAAGGAAGTAAGTGTAGAGCCTTTGTGGGATAAGGCGGAATATTTGGCTTCATTTTGGGCATTTGTATCGCCTCCTTTCAAAAGAGTCCCTTCGTTTTTGATCTCTAGGGATTGGGCTGTTGTTTGCCATCCTTAGGGTTACGAGTTTTGCGACTTTGTTTTGTTTTTTCTTCTTCTCTTTTTCTTTCTTTGTATAAGGACTTCTTGTCCTCTTTCTCTTTCTCTTTCTCTTTCTCTTTCGCGTTTTAATAAAATTTTGTTGTTACTAAAAATAAAAAAATAAAAAAAAAAATAAATTGTGGACAATATTTTTGGTTCCTCGTTTATTCCACTACATTTTGTAAAATGTGATTGTTTAGCCCACTCAAGACCAATTGATGCTTAATGAAACAGGAAGCTATATTGTTGGATCTTCTGAGAGTTGTCAGTCACCATCAGGCTCGACTTGCCACACCCATCCGCAAAATTCAGAAATTTCATAGTGAGGCTGACATTGAAATTCTACCTTTTGCTGATACCATCTTCACTGGTCCTAGAGCCACTTGCAACCGACCATTGCTCTTGATTGAGCCCTCATATAAAATCAATGGCGATGATAAAGCCAAGGCCTCAACTCGTTCATCACGCATGAATGAAGAAAAAGATGCCAAGATTGAAGCAGCCTCAACATCCAACTCCGAGACAGATGTCAAGAGTGGATCTTCTTCAATTTTTTATGAGACCAAAACCAATGATGAGGTGCCATCGGCTACAAGCTCCGATGCCAGCTTAAACTCTAAGGTTTCAGCAGTGTCAACATCCAATGCCAAAACTCCAAATGCAGAGTGTGTGGGTCCAGTCCAAGACTCTGAAAAGCAGCAACTCAAGAAAAATGCTATGGATGGGGTGAAAGAAGTGAATTCTGTTGACAACAAGCCACCTCTAACTTGCCAAGAATCTGGCAAGCAAGATGGTGAGAGACCTATTGCATTGTCATTGGTGTCTAGGCCTGCATTGGAAGATAAAATTGTTTTTGGCATTGCATTAGAGGGATCAAAACGAACGCTGCCAATTGAGGAAGAAATGACTCCATCTATGTCTGTTACCAATACAGAGTCAATGGAATTGGTTGCCTCACAGAATGGGAGTGGGTCCGCCCCAGATGGCACGAATTCGAAAGATGAGCAGAATCCAGCTGTTTCGGCTGCTACACGGAGCAATCAGCGGCAAAAAGAAAGGTGATCAAACTTGATGAGATAAGAAGTGCCCATCCAGAAATGCTTGAAGCTGTGTTTTTTTAAGCTTGCATTATGGAATGCACACTGTTCTCACAAGATCCCCCGAAATTGGGAATAATTTTATTTTTTTTTTAGGAAATAATTTATATTATCTAAACCTAGGGGATAGGGGTATTGGGGGCTTGAACCCGTGAACTGATGAGTAACCTTACAAAAATCATTGTTGAATTAAGAATTTGTTGGGCAGAGCAGAATAGCTTAGGCAATCAATGAGAGACCTGATTCATGTTTCAATTGTTCTGATTCTCTTTAATGGCTTTCAGTTTCTTTAATTTAGATACATTTTTAGTTGAGTTTTGAGAATTGTGTTTTGACGGAACAAGTTTTGAAGTTGGAAAGTGACCCATTAGCAAGCTTAGTTTTAAGGCAATTTAATACAGCACTGGACAGAAAAATTTGATGGCGTTGTTAGTTTAGTTTTTCATTTTTATAAAATGGGGAGCAAGGTTTTTGTTTTTGTGCAAAATATATATATATAAAAATAAAAAAAAACTTTATTTGACTTGTAGCGTAAATGGTCATGAGATGATATTTAAGTGTCAATGAAGTGAGATCTCATTAGTATCAGTCTACTATGGTAATCAAATTAATCTAATTTTACTAAACTAGTTTTGAAAAAAATAAAAAATGATTTTCAAATTTCATTAATGAAACAATGTATCAAACAAGTTATTGTTACCTGTTTCTGAATATAAAATGAAAATAAAAGCAAAACATAGAAAATGAAATTTTTTGAGTCATTTGATAACGTTGTCACTATTTTATTTGTTTGATTATTTTATTTTAAATTTAAAAAAAAAAAAATCTTATTTTGTGTACTTGAAAACAAAAGAAGATATGCATATTTACTAAGGCCAAGTTTGACAACTCTCAAAAAGTTAAAAAGTCAAAAAGTTATTCAAAAAGTTAAAAAGTTATCATTACTCACAAAAAAAAAAATTAATTTTCTGAGCCAAGTACAACTCAGTGATGTAAGCAATCACTGCTCTGTGTTGTGTGTGGCAGAACAAATCTGATTAGATTGGGTGCAATTGAACACACTACTGTTCGGCCTGTGGGAGCTCATCACGGGTCCTGTTTTGATAATCTGAACCGTTCAATGTGTAAAACTCGTCGAGTACTATATGCCTGTAAAAAATCACGTTGATCGGATATCGATAATTAATGATCAAATTAATTTTGTATAAAAAATAAATGGTGTTATAATTAACGATTGGAAAAAAATAAATCTGATCAGATAGCTATCAATATCCGATCAACGTGATTTTTTATAGATATATAGTACTTGACGAGTTCTACACATTCAACGGTTTAGATTATCAAAATGGGACTCGTAATGACCCCCACGGGCCAAACAAAACCGTTCAATGCATTGCCCAAACATTGGCCAATAATTTCTTACCATCAATTCAATTGCACAGATTGTACGGCTGCCAACCCACATTTCTAATCTTCTCCTACACACTTTTTTATACGTTTTTTAATACACATTTTTTTCATAAAAAGTCAAAAAGTTAATCCAAACATCCATATTTTTTTTCTCAACTTTATTTAGGACACCCCAAACAACCCCTAAATTGAATTTTCATTTTTAAGAAAACAAAAATGATATATCAAACAAGTTTTTGTTACCAGTTTCTAAAAATGAAAAAGAAAAACCCTAACAAACAACAGTTTAAATCTTGAATTGTGCAGGAAACAAATGGAAAAAAAATAAAAATGAAGTAATTATGGAGGGAAGTAAGTAGAATAGGACAGTTGAAGTAAATATTGACTGCACAAAATACTCATCTCTATATGAATCTTCTAAAGGTCTAAGCAAAACAATCTTATATAATTATATAGAGCCCAAGCATGAGAAAGGAATTCATACCTATTACTACTTTATTCTACATCACTTTTTACATGAATAACCCGATTTCCTTTCTCACATTTGAGCTTTAAAAAGCTGTACTTAGATCTTCAATTGTACAAGTAAATATCGTTTTGACCACACACAAAACACAAAAAAAAAAAAATTTAAAAAATTAATTTTCCGAGCCAAGTACAACTCAGTGATGTAAGCAATCACTGCTTTGTGCTGTGTGTGGCGGAACAAATCTGATTAGATTGGGTGCAATTGAACACTGCTGTTCGGCCCGTGGGGGTTCATCACGGGTCCCGTTTTGATAATCTGAACCGTTTAATATGTAGAACTCGTCGAGTATTATATGCCTGTAAAAAATCACGTCGATCGGATATCGATAACTAATGATCAAATCAATTTTGTATAAAAAAATGGATGATGTTATAATTAACGAATGGAAAAAAATAAATCTGATCAGATAGCTATCAATATCCGATCAACGTGATTTTTATAGATATATAGTACTCGACGAGTTCTACACATTCAACGGTTTAGATTATCAAAATAGGACCCGTAATGGCCCCCACGGGCTGAACAAAACCGTTCAAAGCATTGCCCAAACATTGGCTAATAATTTCTTACCATCAATTCAATTGCACAGATTGTATGGCTGCCAACCCACATTTCTAATCTTCTCCTACACACTTTTTTATACAATTTTTTAATACACATTTTTTCATAAAAAGTCAAAAAGTTAACCCAAACATCTATATTTTTTTTTTCAACTTTATTTAGGACACCCCAAACAACCCCTAAATTGAATTTTCATTTTTAAGAAAACAAAAATGATATATCAAACAAGTTTTTGTTACCAGTTTCTAAAAATGAAAAAGAAAAATCCTAACAAACAACAGTTTAAATCTTGAATTGTGCGGGAAACAAATGGAAAAAAAATAAAAATGAAGCAACTATGGAGGGAAGTAAGTAGAATAGGAAAGTTGAAGTAAATATTGACTGCACAAAATACTCATCTCTATATGAATCTTCTAAAGGTCTAAGCAAAACAATCTTATATAATTATATAGAGCCCAAGCATGAGAAAGGAATTCATACCTATTACTACTTTATTCTACATCACTTTTTACATGAATAACCCGATTTCCTTTCTCACATTTGAGCTTTAAAAAGCTGTACTTAGATCTTCAATTGTACAAGTAAATATCGTTTTGACCACACACAAAATTTGTTTCGATGTGGATTGTGATTGGATCATCATACAAAATCCAAAGTGGTTATATATCATCATATCACTCTCCAACTTAAATGGGGAATTTAAAGGATAAACATTGTCTCCGCATATAATAAAACCACAACACTATTCACATCATAGCATTCAATATCCTAATCAGATCCCATTTTTGGGTGTAGAAAAAGGAAGACAATGAAAAAAAAGAAGAAAAACTAGCACAGCCCATTTTACAATTGCAGATCTTTTGAGAGGCTTCTCATCTGTCTTCTTTCCTCTTCAACAGGAGGTGTAAGGCGCGCTTTTTTAGCAGCCTGCATCTCATCTGACTGTGTCACCACCAAATCATCGGCGATCCTTTTAGTAGTAGCAGGCTGCACCTCATCTGACTCTAGCACTGAATCATGGCCGATTTTATTAGCATCCTCGTGCTGCTGCTGTGCGTCTGATTCTGACACAGAATCATCCCCGATCCTCTTTGTAGTCCGTTGCACATCCGTTTCTGACACGGAATTGTCATCAATCTTTTCTAAAACCTGCTGGCCATCTGATTCAGACACTTTAGTATCACCAATCAAACTCACATCAGCACACGTAATGTCTCCATTTTCCTGCACATCACAACCCTGATCAGACAATCCAGGAATGAGATGATCAGCATTGCCATTGGAATCAACCATATGATCAGAGGTTTCAGCATCTGCAACATCAAGCATCTCACTAGGAGCAGAAACTAGGGTTTTAGGATCAAGCATAAGATTAGAGGGCTGACAATCTGTAACAGTAAGCATGTCACTAGCAGCAGACACCAGGGTTATAGAATCAAGCATATGATCAGGGGGCTGAGAATCTGCGACACTAAGAGGAGCAGAGACAAGGGTTTTAGAATCAAGCATATGATCAGGCGGCTGAGAATCTGCAACAATAAGCATCTCACTAGCAGCAGAGGCAAGGGTTTTAGAATCAAGCATATGATCAGGGGGCTGAGAATCTGCAACACTAAGCATCTCTCTCGCAGCAGACACGAGGGTTTTAGAACGAAGCATATGATCAGGGGGCTGAGAATCTGCGACACTAAGCATCTCACTAGCAGCAGAGACAAGGGTTATAGAATCAAGCATGTGATCAGGGGGCTGAGAATCTGCAACACTCTGCATCTCACTAGCAGCAGAGGCAAGGGTTTTAGAATCAAGCATATGATCAGGGGGCTGAGAATCTGCAACACTAAGCATCTCTCTAGCAGCAGACACGAGGGTTTTAGAATGAAGCATATGATCAGGGGGCTGAGAATCTGCGACACTAAGCATCTCACTAGCAGCAGAGACAAGGGTTTTAGAATCAAGCATATGATCAGGGGGCTGAGAATCTATGACACTAAGCATCTCACTAGCAGCAGAGACAAGGGTTACAGAATCAAGCATATGATCAGGGGGCTGAGAATCTGCAACACTCTGCATCTCACTAGCAGCAGAGGCAAGGGTTTTAGAATCAAGCATATGATCGGGGGGCTGAGAATCTGCAACACTCTGCATCTCACTAGCAGCAGAGGCAAGGGTTTTAGAATCAAGCATATGATCAAGGGGCTGAGAATCTATGACACTAAGCATCTCACTAGCAGCAGAGACAAGGGTTATAGAATCAAGCATATGATCAGGGGGCTGAGAATCTGCAACACTAAGCATATCTCTAGCAGCAGACCCAAGGGTTTTAGAATCAAGCATATGATCAGAGGGCTGAGAATCTGCAACATCAAGCATCTCTCTAGGAGCAGAGACAAGGGTTTCTGTCAGGCACTCAACATTTTCTGGTGATGGAGATCTTGGTTGATCTATTTTCTTCTCTTCTACATTGAGATCTTCCCTAACTATGTCAGTTTCCCTGACCTCGACTTCTAAGGAATCATCAGAGGCACAAATTGATGTTTCTGGGGATGCATTGATATCTTCATGGCCAGCTTGGTGAATTCCTGGATGCCACGACGCGTCTGCACCAAAATCTCTGGACGGATAGGAAAAACCACAAGCTCCAGGTGTAATTCCAGCCAATTGCTGAAAACCAGTTCTGTTTGACGGTGAATAGACAAATTGCCCACCAGCTTCTGCATCTACCTGTTAAAATTGCAGGATTTTAGGAATTTAGTGAGCGCACTACAATTTTTTTACATTACAGTTTCCTTGGAGTGAATTATTTAAAAAAGGAAAATAAATTTGGGAGGTGAAACATGGCAAATAAATTGTCATTATCAACACACATATCGGTTGATGTATCAGGCTCAAGGTTTCAAAAAGCAATTGTGGTTGCCGTAACGGTTGCGGTGGCGAGGTGTAAAGGCCGTAGCGTAATGGTTGCGGTAACTAAACCATGAATTTTTTAATTTTTCGCACAATTTGAAAAAAACTTACCGATACGCATATTTGTTTTTTCAAAATCACATTTATAAGGGTTTAAAATAGATTTTGATCATTTTATTTTTTAAGTATGATCTAATATATTTCATATTTTTAAGTCACTATAAAAGGAACTTTTTACATTTTATTTCAATAGTTAATAATTTTAAGAATAATTGATTTTAAATGTCTATAAAATTATTTTTGACCAATACCTAAATTAACTAGATAAAAAATATTTACAATTATTAAATAAAATGATTATAAAAATGAAAAAAAAAACAAACTGTGCCATAAACAAAAATTATTTTTGAGCTAATTATTTTTTTTAAAAGTCATTTTTTTAGACAACACTTTACAGCTAACTAAATAAAATTATTTACAATTAAGTATTAAATGAAATAATCATAAAAATCAGTGGTTTTTTTTAAAGACATTTTTTAGACAACACATTATAGTAACAAAATAAAAAATATTTAGAATTACATATTAAATGAAATGAATATAAAAATAAATACAACCACTGTTTATATAATTTTTTTATTTTACATGCTAATGCAATGAAATAAAAATTATAAAATAAATTATAAAGAAAAAAAAATTCATACAAGGTTTTTTCTTTAGACTTTGATCACTTGAGTATTTGTTCTTTTTTTGTAATTTTTTTTTTTTTTTTTGGAAAGGAAGCTATTCAAGATATTGTAACGGTGTGTAACAAGCCGTTATATAATATCGAAATAGCCGTTACACGTGTAAATTTCTGTCACACCGCAAAAGCAGGTGTAACGAGTAGCGCTTACCACCGCAACCGTTACGTAACACCGCTTTTTAAAATTTTCAATGCAAATGATTTATTTTTTGTTTTTTCGTCTGGGGATTTTCCTTCAAAACAAATTTGCAAATGATTCTTTTTTGGATTCTTGGACAAAAATTTGTTTTATTAATCTGTGCTGATCATTTGCCAAAAAAAAAAAAAAAAAAAAAACATATATATATCTGCAAGAAATCATATTGCTTTCTAAAGCTGCAATTATTCCAATTTTGGCAGAAATTATTCCTAAACTCAAGAGAATAGACCACCATTTCAGTTGCCATCACCAAAAATATTCATGCTCAAGCCTATTTTAAGTTTTTAAGTCTAATTATACCACATGATTAGAAGATGATGAAATGGGAAATACCTCCATTGATGAAATGGCACCTTTAAAATCGCCAAAAGATGCTGACCGGTCAAAAGTTCGATATTGTCCATCAAAAAAAGATCCTGGATTAACTCCTTCCTCAAAGAACTCCCTCAAAACCAAGCCTGAATCAGCAGCACATTGAGAAGATGTAGGCAATAGAGTCATTTCAATCCCCTGCCCAACTCGAGAACTAGATAAATTTCCATGAAAACTCTTTAAAGGAGTGCATCTCTCCGAAATAAACTCCACACTGGTTTTAATCATGTTAGTATTTGCCTGGTAGTTAGAGGCACAAGGTTTGCCACTGCAAGCAGCTGGAGAATTTTCCCCTTCAAGGATTTTATTGATTAGCTTCTCAATATGAACACGCTTGAGGGAAGGCTCAGCAGCTGGAAACCAATCCACGTTAAGCTGGAAAAGGGAGAGATGTCATTTATGTATAGCAAAACATGAAAGAGATGAAATAAAATAAAAAAGCCATGAGGTAACTATAATTAAAGTTGGGTTCTATTATAATAAAATTCTAAATATATATACTAGTCTTAGTTGGGGTAGGGGTGGGGATCAGTAGCGAGATCATATAGAAGAATTTAGGTTGGGATCACAGAGGGAAGCCTTTATGTATTTTATATATAAAAACAAGAAGAAGAAATATTTTGGTTAGTTGTAAATTGTAATATTTATATATGGGGTCACTAGTTCAGTGGTTAAAACTCAACCTACTAACTTTAAGGTTGTGGGTTCGAACATGAGGGTAGGTACTTTGTGCAAATTATGCATCAGGTCAATACCCAATCTACCCCTCCCAGACTCTCATCAAATGGGGACTAAACTGGGTGTAAATTTTTATTTAGTCATAAATTTTAATATTTATGTTAATTGTATATATTATAATAGCACTTAAACTGTCAAACATAAGTCCAGTAAATTCTCATTACAAAAAAGTAACAAATCATCACCAATAACATATATCTTTACTCCAATCCTCACAAACCCAAATTGCAAGATCTATCAAAAAGTCTTCATACTTCAATTCCCATAGTTTCTTTTGACTTGGTAGCTTTTCCCTATTCACATCCCAGTTGGAGGTTTTGACAATATTTTTACTTGAACTAAGGAATTGCATTCCTGAAGCAGAAACATCACCCCCAGACTCCAGTGGAGTGTCTTGCAACTAAGTATTAGTCAATAAAGCTGACAACTAAAATCAATTTTAAGAACCATTTCATCTAGTCCATTTTTTTTTTCTTTTTTTATTGGCACTGGGTGTCCAGATCAAAGCCCGAAGTTAGTTGAACCCAAGCACCAAAGGCAAGTTACTAGGAGTTGCCAAGAGTTTTCTTTCAGATTATAACTAATTTAGCACTAAAATTTGAAAAAGAAGTGAAGAGTCCCACTAGGTTGACCAATTAGAGACCATCACAACAAAGCAAGGATTTCAGGAATTTATACACTATATATTCATGCAAAATTCTTCTACATATATAATGCCATCAATGAAGCTAGGGAATGACCTCACACAACACTAAAATACAATTTTAATTGAACTTTCGTTGGATAAAGATAAATTAACCATATAAACACTATAAGGTGTTGACACCAACATTTTTCATCCAGTATTTTGATGGACAATCAATGTATAGGGTGTTTTTATATATTGTCGGGTGAAGTAATGAGTGTTAATGTAATTTAACCCAAGGGGTGTTCGTATAATTTAACCCCAGAGAAACCAACTGGGTAGCCTAGGAATGCAAAATCCAGCAGTATATGCGAATTGTTTCTGCTCCAAGAAGAGAGTATTGAGATAATGTTGACAAAAATTAAAGCCAACCACAATAGTAATAATAATAAAATTGAATTACTCCAAAAAAGTAAATAAAAGAGTGATGGGAACACCCTGTCAAAAGAGGAGGGTGAGTAGTACATTTATTTCAAAACCAATTTCAACAACTTGAAGGTAGGAAACTCCAGGTTCTCTAATAATTTCCATTTCACCCCTTATAATTTACAAATAAATCAAACAGAATCCAAGGCTACACCTCATAACACTTGCAAATATGTATCTATACTTCACATTCCCCTTTAAATCTCTGATAGCCAATTCTAAACCACCATCCAGCCAAAAAATCCATCAAGGACATGGAAAAAAAAGAAAGAAGAGAAGCCATCTCACAACAAACAAAAACAATACAAAACCCAGTGAACACAGATTTACTTGCAATCATCCAGTTCCCATTTAATAATTGATCCGAACAAAAAAATTGAAACCAAAGTATTAAGACAAGAATGAGAAGCTAGTGAAATTAAGTGAGAAGTACAAGCCACTTACAAAGTTGGAGAACTTTGTTATTTTGAATGGACTGAAGTTCAGAGGTGCTTCATCCAAAAACCGTTCCACATAGTGGAGCAAGAAGAGGCCACAATCAAATGAATTTTGCTGCTGTGGTAACTGCACAGAGCATATAGTAAATATCAGAAAAACTGCAGATGAGGCAAGGCCAGTGTTAGAATGACAGATTGAATCTTTAATGCAAGATTCTATCACAAGACAAATGCAGACTTAATACTGAACATATCTGGTTGTTCTCCTTTTGGTGTTCATGGAAGAGATTAATGCATAGGTTTTTCATCAGGCTGATTTCCATAAAGCCTAGAATCTCTTAAAAGTATAATTTCTCAATTTCATTTCCTTTTGAGACTAGATATCTTCTTGTTGTGACTCGTTTGTCTTGAACTCACTTTAAACTTCTGATGTTTCTGCTTATAAATATTTTCCCATAAAGAAGGTGAACTTGTCAAAAGAGGTAAAAAGGCTACAATTGCTTTAACCACCTTTCTTCTCTCCTCGTTTGGAAAACTCCACTGGCACTTGACTGGAACAGTCATGACTCATAATTATATTGTTAGCCCCATGGTTTTCAAAGGATTATATAATTGATTTTGATGATAACAAAGCTTAGGTGATTATGCTTATAATAAGTTATTGTTAAATTTAAAGCTGACTAAAGCTTGTCTAACTTGTAGAATTGACTGGAACAATATTCTTGATTCGAGTAAGCTCATGAAGAAAGAGGAGCAAGCTCAAAATATATTGTACTGAATAGAATCGAAACAAAAAAGAAGGTGTCAACTCAAATCTAGAATGAGCCAGTTCAAAGCTTACTGGATTGCAAAAGGAAATTCCCAGAATTTTCAAAGTCAGCTCAACACAGAGAGTCAGCTCAAAGTGTTCTGCAGAGCAGATTATTCAAACATAAATCAAGTCTGAAGAGTTTGAATTCAAAATATATTGAAGGATTTGAAATGAAGATTTTGACTAGATTTGATATACAAGGAAGATTTGCTCTACAAGGAAAGATAGCATAATCAAAGAAATTTGTTCAGAACTTTTCCAAGACAAATTGCAATGTGCTGATATTCAAGAAATGAAGCTTAGAGATAGAATTAGAATTTGAATTTGAAGATCCCTCTTGTCTGCTATTTTAAAGTGAAGATATACATGATGAAGGAAAGCATGGACAGTGGGACTAATTGAAGAACATAGAAATTCAAAATTTAAATTGCACTCATATGGAAGGTTCAATATAGAAGAGGAATTGATTTGCGAAATGGAATCAATTCTAACAGTTATATTTTTGAAGATCCAACAGTCATATTTTTGAAGCTATAAAAAGAGCATTCTAGCCTCAGTTGAATGACACAACAAAAACACAAGAAGAAGCAAAACACATTGGTGATATTCAAGAAAAGCTCTCTGTTATACTGAGAAAGCTCTCCACTGTTCTTTATTGGGATATACACTTTTGAATGAGATTTCGTTGAGAGTTTAACTTTTATTGTAAAAGGGTTTGCACCCCCTTCTTACTCTTGCGAGAGTAATTTTTTTCGCGAGTGGTTTTTGGGATAAAAACACTTGAGATAGGTGCATGTGACTTGGCATCGGATTCAAAACTAGTCGTGATCTTTTTGTGAGTGGTTTTTAGATAAAATCACTTGGATTAGGTGTGACTAGGCACCGAATTCAAAACTAGTCGACTTGAGTGATCGAGAGTTGATCACTTGTTGTAAAGGTTCACTAGCACCTGTAAAGCTAGGGTTTGTAATGCTATTTGAAGATAGTGAAGAAATTCCCAAGGAGGATACTTGGGGAGTGGACGTAGGCTTGGGTTAAGCCGAACCATTATAAATCGCGGTGTTGATATCTCTTTTCCTCTCTTTATCTCTACTTATATTTTCCTGTGTGATTGTTTGCATTGCTTATATATTTGTTATAGTTTGATTGCTTAAGTTTTATATCTCTGTTTTAATTTTGAGTTAGCTCAAACTACATTAGTTTTCATAATTGCTTCCCCCTCCCCCTCCCCCTCCCCCTCCTGGGTTGTCATTACTAGGATAACATATATAATATCAACTGAGCACAGTGTACTTCAGAATAATCTACAATTTTAAGTTGCAACACAACATAGTCAAACTGCAATTTTTCATTCAGCTCCATGAATCCTCGTCTGCCAATTGTGCATTCACCCAAGTATGAAATAACTAAATTCAATAGAACTTTTTTTCTGTATTACCTTCATCATGTTTTTGTTCTTGAAACAAATAAATAAGACTTGAAATGAAACCTCCTATCATCCTCCCTTCTATAAGGGTTAAGGTAGTAACATTAGGATGATTTCCCCAACCTCCTCCATTCAACTTACCCACCATAGAAACTGGACATGCAAATAAAAAGTGGCCTAGAAATATACATTTGAATCATTGCCACAACACCCTTCTACAAGAACAGAGCCAAAACATGAGGATATGATGAGATTGAATATATGTACATATCTAATTTGGATTAAACCAGTGTCTATACCCATCGCAAATGGATCTAACCATTTTACTGGAGACAAAAGACCTAACAAAAATCAGCATCTTCAGTCAGACTCTTCTAAAGAAAAACCTTGAGATTGGTATGAGAAGGTGGACAAACACCACCAAAATCACAAAGGCCATCACTCAGAGCAGGACACCATTAATTCAGGGAGCTGAGAGAGTGGAACTGGGTACAGAACAACCTTTCGCAGTATTTGCATAAAACAGCTGCCCCAAAAATTAGACCAGTATCTGCACATTTAGCAGCCTGGTTTTCATCATTACATCAAGCAATGACTCATTACGAACACCAAAAACATGCGTGCCCAAAACCAAAAACCTTAACGACTAAGGGGAGGACACCCATCGCTTATATCACAAATAAAAATCCTGTGCCATCTTGTGGACCATGATTCTATAGAAATTTGGATCAACACGTGAGGTTAGTAAAAACAACATTAATTGTCTTTCACCATAAATTAAATTTTCTTATCATGACAGGAACATAAAGGTCAAATTTAACAAGTGCCGCTAAACACCCATAAGAAACACAATGTTGCAGTGTCTTATTCTCATTATTGGCAACAAATTTAACAATTAGATAACCCATGAGTCAAGAATAATACCATCAAAAAAATTTATTTCCATTTTTTTTTAATAAAATCAGATTATAAAAAAGTGAGAATTCAGGGGTGATAGCAACGGATGAGGAGATTAAGGAAAGGTGACAAGTTATATTGAGAGATTATTAAATCAAAAACACTTGGAAAGTTTAGGAGGAGAGGAATATGGTAGCCTTGATGGAACTAAAGAATAGAAGTTTTATTGTAAAATAAAGAAACAAAGGTGAAAACTACTGCACTAAGGAAGATGAAATTAGGTAAAGCTCTAACACTAGATGGTATCACTATTAAGGCTTGAAAATGCTTAGGTAAGGAGGGAATGTCTTGGCTAATCAAATTATTTAACAAGATAATACTGATTAGGAAAATGCTTGACAAATAGAGGGAAAGGTTTTTAGTACCTATATACAAAAATTAAAATATATATATATCCAAGATTGCAACAACTATAGAGATATAAAGTTGATGAGTCATATGATTGTTGACGAAAGTGCTTAAACATTGTTTAAGAGTTGCAACAACATTGTTAGAGGATTAGTTTGGATTTATACTTGATAGTTCAACTACAGAAACGATATACTATAAAAATGCCATAGAGCAAAAAAGTGATCTTCATATGGTTTTTATAAATTTAGAAAAAAGCTAATGAGATGGTGCCTAAAGATAATATGTTAGTGATGGCTGCTAACTATTGATGCGAAAAAGGACATATATGATGAGGCTGTAACTGCAATTAGATTTCCTACATGAGAAACAAGAAAATTTTTCATTACTATATAATATTGCACCAATCTTGAGTCTTTACCCATTTGCCCTGGTCATGGATGAACTGAATAGACACATTAAGGATGATATTCCATAGTATACATCGTTCGCAGATGATATTATCTTAGTGGATGAAACTCTGAGGAATTAGCACTAAATTAAAACTTCTGAGAGAATCAATTGATTGGCTTGACCTATGTCATCTTTTCACGTTTACCTCGCCAAAATAATACTCCCTCCATCCTATTTTGTTAGTCCCTTTTGGGAGTTATAAATCATATAGGGGACATGCAATTAGTGCATTTGAATTCAATTTTCAAAGCATTCATTCCAACAATGCCCCCTATATTTTCATTTTTAAATATAATTATAGCCACTTGTAACAAATAGTTTTTGGAAATTTAAACGTCATTTACTCTTTAAATAGTACTAATATTTTGCAATATCCCAAGATGGAAAGAAGGACTAACAAAATGGGATGGAGGGAGTGATATACTATTCATGGGTGTGGGCTACTTAAGCCTCAAACATCCTAAGAATATGTATTTTACATTTTTTTTTAGGGGGGGGTGGGTTTAGATCACCAAAATAACAAATTATGCATAAATATTTGTTATTTTCATATTAAACACTCTTATGAGTTGTATCATGGCATTTTCACAAAAAAAAGGTAAAAAACATGGTCAAATTTGTTGGACCTAATAGTTTCAAGAATCACATAAATTGTCAAACCTTAATCAAATTGTGAATAGAACTATGAATCGTGTGATTCACCATTGATTCTATACTAAAATAGACTCATGACTCACATTGATCTTGCATGAATCGTATCGTGGATCGTGAGATTCTAATGACAAAGGAAACAACTTATATAATGATTCTCTTTTGAAAATCACTATCTAAATTAGATGCCAAATTAGCTGAGAATAGACACAATACCTCGAGTGGCACAAATCTCAAATTGAAAAATTTTGAGGAAATATCTTCAGATGCCTCTTTTTGCCTCTCTTTCCACTCCTCCCATAGGTAACTATAATTTCAAATAAAAAAAAAGAAAGGCTAAATATCAAAATCAAATATAACAAATAACAAAAAACAAAATAGTTAGAAAACCTAGAAAGCAATTCAACAAGGAATGTTAAATGCATTTACACTACAAATGATGAGCAAATTAGACAAGTACAAATGAGAAATAAAATAGAGAAATGAAGTGATCACGTCAAGGATCATAATGAGGAGCAAATAAAAAAAGTACAAAAAAGAAAGCGAGCACACTTTTTGAAAAATAACAATGGACGTAATGATAGATGCATGATGATGGTGATAGGTTAATTTCTCTACTGAACAGTGAACACCATAGACATTTTAAAATCATTTGGACATTTATTATACAAATGGTATGTAAAACTGTAATAGCTTATCACCAAGCATTATATTAGCTAAGCTTCTTTATACGAGCTTCCAATTTTACTACACTTTGTTTTGTCCTATAGCTAAACTATAGGACAACAATTATGTTGCAACACCTTAGAGGACACTTTTACACCCTATAGAAGCTGAGATATTGTGGTTTTATTGAGGATTTAATCCTGTCCTTCATATGTCTCCTTGGTAATAATAGTGCAAAAAAGGATTAAGTGGTAAACAGTTATTACTCAACTTAAAACAGCTAATAGCGCAACATCTGTTCCATTCAAACTATAAAAACCGTTCATTTTAGCTGAGTGCAAAACTGGGCCAGCAACATAATGTTTAACTATGTGAGAGCTTAAATGCACAAGGACAAGAACTGAGCTGTCTCAAATTGACAGTGCTACAAGGCATACAGAATGACCAAAGACATGATGGCCTATGGCCTATGGTGCACACACACAGAGAACAAAATATTTACATCAGCAAATGAAACCACATATTGAATTTCAAAACCACCAGAATACCTCTGAATAAAATCTTTGAGACCAGTATGATTTCCCTTAATAGAATCCATATGCAATATGCACGGTACTTTAAGTGACTTCTCCACATCTTCATCTGACGTATCACATACACAACAATGAGGAAAGATTAGCCATTTGCCACACTTGAATCACAAGGGAAAATGTTAAGATCTAGCAAGAAATTGCCTTGAAACTTAGCGACTTCACCAGGGTGGCATATTACTATTAAACTCCAGTGATAACTGTCAATAAAACAAGTACATGTTGCATGTAAGCACTCAATCTTACAAAGAAATTTTCCAATTAAAAACATTTTGATCAGATAATCTGATAATGTCTTACTTAAAGTTCACAGGAATCAAGACATAATCCTTTTCAAATAGATTCACTTTTCTTGTCCATTTACGAACACGCTGAAAAGCAGCCCTGCCCTCAAAAGAACTAGGTGGATCTTTATCAAGATCAATCAGCTTCCGAAAGAAGAAACTATTAAAAAAGAAGAACCTGTGCCTCTCCTCAGGTTTCATTTCATTCTTCAGATATCTGTCATCAATTAAAATATTCAGTAAAGCATGTTACAATGCAGCAAAAAGCAACACTCAAATCCTCATAGTTAAAAGTTGTTAGATTGATGTACAACACCTTAAACTTTTGGGACAATTAGTGATCTAACATGATATCAGAGTTAGATCTTCGGTGGTCTCTTATGGGCCAAGTCTCCGCCCTGGTTCTGTTTCTCTCGTTTTGTTCATCTCTCTATCACATCCCATGAAACCAGGGCACGCACGCGCGCGAGCGTGTGTGGGTTTGGGTGCAACCGGAAGAGCCAAAGGGTGGTTCAGTTGAAGTTATTTCATTTATTTAAAATAACCCCACCACCAGCTCTTCAGTTTGGAGGTATCACCAATTCACCTGCCACCCAAAAGGGTGAGGGTGAAGCCTAACCGTCAAAGGTTCAAGTCCTACTAGGGAGGGTATGAGCCCAAATGAATCCTTTATGTTGTGTTTGGTTGGGGGATTTGGGAAGGGAACGGGAAAAGGAAAAAGGTGTGTGAAACTAGGTGAAATGTAGATATATCTTATTCACCTCTCTTTTCCCTTTCCCTTTCCTATTCCCTTCCCAAATCCCTTCCTAAATCTCCCAACCAAACACATCATTAAGAATTCTAACCTAAAGACTGGATTGTCATCTCCTCTCTTCCAATTCATAAGTTGCTTTTCCTTTAGGCCATAAGGAAAATATTTGCTTCTCAACAACTCTATGAAAGGAAAAATTACTTCTAAGTAAACCAACATACTTGATGTAGAAGTCAATGATTGTATCGTTGACAAATGTGTCTGGCTGTAATAAATCAACATCTCTCTTACTAATTGAAACAGCATCAGAATCACCCTTTGGATAGACAACTTCCTCAAATGGCTCATCAAAGCTGCAGCATTGGGCATTGAATCAGCATGCTTATAAAAGAACAAAGGCATAAATTTGGTGTACTGTGAACAAAACCACAAGAGGAAATTGCAAGCAAACTTCAATATGAGACTAAAAGCCAAACTCCAATCCTCATAACTATAGAAAAGGAAAAAAACCCAAGAGAGAAAAAAAAAAAAAAAAAAAATCACCAATTTTTACTAGTTTCAATTCAATACTAGTCAAGAACTTTTACCTACTAGCAGTAATGAATGTTTAAGAGTGTGTAGTTATTCCATCATTTTTGGGTATTAAATATTAATGCACTTTTATTATGTTAATTCCCTCAATCTGTGCCCTCTTGTGAGTTTAATGGATTAATTTTATTTTTATAGGAAAAACTTTGGCAATTACAGTGATTATGGAGCAAAAAAGAAGAACAGGCTAGCATTTCAGCAAACGAGCCATAGTGTGCCCAGAGCTAGCACACACGGAATTGCTGCCCAAACAAAAGGCATCAGCCTTTAAATGAATTGATTGTGTGGTCCCATCCTCCTTGTTCAACAAAAGAAGAAAGGAAAAAAAGGCTTAAGCTATTAGTACAACCATGGTAGGCCAGTGCATATGAGAAATGCATTACGCTGTGTTGAGTTACTGCGGACATATTTATTGGAGAAAACAATAACAAAGAGTGTGCTCCAGCACATACGAGTCCCCAAGTTGTATGAAATATTCTAATAAGACAATTACTTGTGTTTTAAGCCAATAAGCTTCCTTTTCCCATTACACTAGGTTTGAGAGTATTTATTTTATTATATATAAATGTCATTAGATACTTCATGATGTGTTATTTTTAATACGAAGTTTTTTTTTTTCTTCTTCTTAATGGATTGTTAAGCTTCTTTGCCAAGGCTAGGAGTCAAAACCCCAATGAATTCTTCGTAAGTATTCCTATGATTCAATAATGGTTTTTAATGCTAGATTATTTTGATTAATTAGTTCAATTTATTTTTTGGAAAAAATTTTGTTTTGTAAAATAATTGATCTTTTCGAATGATGTTTATTATGAAATCAATGTTTTATTCTTTTGATTAGGAATATGCTGTGTGGTTCTCAATTGAATTATCAAAAATAAAATCTGGAATGTTACAAAGGAAACATTGGTGGAGAATCCTTGATGCCTCCTTAATATTGTATGCAAAATTTATTTTTAGCAAATTAAAATTTTATAATTATTCAACTTTTTTCAAGTGGAATATACTGATCCCTATGGTTAAACTCTGGACTCACTGAGATATAAAATTGTAACAAGTTTTTGCTGTCATTGCCAGAAATAGAAACATTATTCAAGAGATACCAAGCTCTCATTGTGGGAGGTTGTATTGCAAGTTTCTCGCAATTCTGGTAGACTCGACCACTTCTCTATTTTAATTAGTGCATGCGTTCTTAGTATCGTGATTATAGTGGTTGTTTAGTAAATATTGATTTAGAGGCTGAATTTGACTTGCTACCTACGCACTCTCACTTGTGTCGCAATGGTGATGGTGGTAATAATAGGACATGTTTGGACGAGTGTTTGACATGTGTCCGGAAGTGTTTGATGAGCATAGGAGTTTGATACGGAAAAGCCACCTTGCTACAAGTGTTCGTCCTTTTTAGATCACTTGTCGAGACACACTTGCACCATGTGTATTACCAAATTTTAACTCTTTAGCCTTTAGCTTTAGTTATTGTTTCAACCAAAGATCACTAACAATTACATGCGCATCGTATGTGCAATTTGATGAGTACTTACAAATATAACCATGCATGCTTTAGTCATTGTTTGAACCAAAGATCACTAACAATTACATGCGCATCACATGTGCACTTTGACGAAAACTTACAAATATAACCATGCATGCTTCAGTCATTGTTATCATGGAGCATGAATAATAGCATGAGAGATCTTTGTCAAGTTACTTAAGGATGGTCCCTAAGGGAAACCTAGACCACGTAATCCGAGTGACTACAATGGTATGGTGTGTTTACACTGCAAAAAAAGAAAAAAAGAAAAAAAAGCATATTGTAACTTAGAAGTAAATTTACCTATTCACTAAAATCTTAAATAGTCATGATAAAGGAGGAGAAGAACATGTCTCGTTGAACTCAATATACTAGTATATAATACATCACCACAAGGTACAAAATCGGACATGGATGTGAAACTAAAATATGACAGACAAATGCCACAAATAATCAGCATCCAACAACTTTTAAATCATTAAATAGAACAGAATACCATCAGTACAAATTGGAATGGAGGACCTTAAATGGGCAGATGAATGCTGATAGATAGCAAAAGAAGTATCAAAATAAAAAATACAAAATGCAAAATAAGAATGAGACCAATACACAAGAAAAGTTGCATCTCCAAGGGAAAATTATGAAGAAGAACGATTTCAGTCACTCACTTGGGAAAATATCTTTTCCTTTGAATGCATATACTATTCTGTCCGGGCAAAGCCTCTCCATCCCCTCCTATGTCAGTACTACAAGGAAATTAACGAGTACATTTTGATGGATTAGAACTAAAAATGAAACACCATATTACCACAAATATAGCAATAACAAACCAAAACCAATCCCTAAAAGCAAAAGCAAAAGCAAATATTATAATCCAACCAACTTTGCCACAATTTTAAAAAAGGTGTCTAAATTTAAATGAGATGAAGATGTCAAATGTTTAAAAAAAATTCGCAAGTAGCACATATCCAAAATGTTGATCTGTTGTCATCTCTCTTACCAGACGAAACAGGGGAAAAAAAAGAAGAAGAAAAAACAACAGAAGTATTTAATTAACGGTAAACCACAATATGCCCACAAGATTGTGGTAAAGTTCTTCTTCCTTTGCTCGATGCTTGGATTCATGACACAAAATGCCCTCGTGTTGTGGCGGACCAACAATATCTACATGTGGTCAGCTAACACCAAAGTCACGCCTTCGGTACATGCACCAACCCCCTACCACGTCTTTTGGCGAAAGGAAGGGCATGAGGGAGGGAAAAGAAAATAGGAAAAAGAAAAGGAAGAGAGAGAGTTCCACTTTGAAACATTAGAACATGATGAACACTCTATTTTTTGAAAGTGAACTTAATCTGTCATTCTCCTTCAAATAATCCCTTTTTATTATAAGTATTGGAAGTCAATGATGCCTACTCAGATCTAAACAGCACTACTCAAAGAACCAGTAATAACTGCAAGCATTCTATCTCTTAACATTAATCGCCATCACTTCCATGTCAAGACAATTGATGACTGACTTCCCAACTAGTGAAAGCCACCGCTGAACCTCCAACTATTGATATTACGAGGGGCAAGGTCACAGTGTTAGCTACTTAAATACAAGTACAAGAGAAGGGCCACAATAAACTTATCAGACTTTAGCATATGAAATTTCAATTTTTCCCTTACTTATGTACATTTTTGGAGCATGATAAAAGATTATGACAATTATTTGGTAACTAACGCCCAAAAAGTTTACGAACATGTAATAATTTCTAAAAACTAGGCATCTCTCTCATTTTAAAAATTCATTATTATATTACTGCAACAAATGCGAGAGATCTATATCCAAATACAACAAATTGGGTCTATTTCCATCAGCTGGCCATTGGGAGCAAGCAATGGATCATTAAGAAACAGAATAGGTTCAGTGAAATCAACTCCAGAATTGGAAAGCGGATCCCTTCACCCAACAAACTCAACAATCAACTATTTAACATTCACTCATATGCTGGAAACCTAACTTTATGATCCAATGCCAAAAAGAAAAGGAACATAAATCTATGAACATTAACAAGAAACATAAGCAGGGAAAACTATGTGTCAAATACTTACTTGAAAACAACATTCCATAGAGCCTTATATCTCACATCCAAAGACAATATCTCTTCCTGCTTCTTGTACCAGTTCAAGTCAACTATTGTGAACTGTAACTCCTCAATGCCTAGATGCAGTTTCCACAGGCAAGGAAAAGTCAAAAAATTGAAATACAATACACAAATCAAATTTATCCCCATGAACATATGGTGAAACAACAGAACTAAACAATATTTCTTCCTGCTTCTTGTACCAGTTCAAGTCAACTATGGCGAACTGTAACTCCTCAATGCCTGGATGCAGCTTGCAGAGGCAACGAAAAGTTAAAAAATTGGAATATATTACACAAATCAAATTTACCCCCATGAACATATAGTAAAACGGTGATGACGTAGCCAACCTCAAGTAGTTGTAACCAGGCTTTGTTGAGTTGGAGAGAGTTGAGTATATTAATGAATCCTGATCACATCTTATGATTTAGAAATGAAGATAGATATGATTCATGATAGATACCCCATGAAAGTTCTCCTTGACAGATTTTGCTAAATCAATTTTGTAGCTATTTTATAACTTCAGTTATTGTGCTGCTAGTAATTCCAAGGAAAAAAAGGATATTATAGTTTATCTTTTGCTTTGATTCTGCCACTTTGAAGAGAAAATTATCCTTGCGAATTACACCTTTTATTACTTTATTCTATGATTAATTTAATTCATCTATAAGACGGAAAGCCCAATTATTGAGCATTTCAAATTTCCTAGATTACATGAAAAAAATTCTGTCGGGCAAAAATCCAGAAATTTGTGAGATAGAACATAGAATCCAACAGATCTAGTAACATTAGGTCTAATACATTTTTCAATAGTTAACTGTAAGTACATTGACATGTTTTTCTATCAACATAACCACTTCTTGTTGCATCTATTTTTTCAACATGTTTTCAAATTTGGAAAACTGAAGCACATAATTGATAATGATTCAAGAAATAAAAATGTTAACAACTGCCACTACGTTAGTGCTCTATGATACGTGGACTTGGATGCAGGTGCGGGTGCATAGCTAGGGGTCAAATGCATCAAACTCCAAATTTTAGGATATGCAGACTCGACAAAAAAAGGATCCAAAAATTAGATACAGGTAAGGGAATATGTCCTCTAATTGGGAAAACATAATTTTATATACGTAAGAGTAAAACTTATTCATCATATATCATATTATATATTCATCGTATACCATATTATCTATAATGACTTTACTATAGTTTTAATATATTGGCAAATGATTTTACTCCAAAATTATCCTTCCAAAAAAGAAGGATTGGATCCATACCTCGTACCCGTGTCCTATCATGTCGACACGGGTACTTCAGCAAAACTGAAGAGCTTTCATATTGTCCTGGTGTAAATCGCATTAGATAACTAACAACAAAGTGGATATTACTTAAGCCTAACAAGGGAGGCTAGTATAATGGTACAGACTTAAAGAGAAGTCAGACTAATGAAAAAATACAGGGAATACATGCTTTAGTTTCAAAAACCCAAGGGAAGGCTTCTGCTTTCAACCAAAAAACATCCCAAAAGTTGAATCTAACACAAAAGTTTCAGCTAATCAAGAAAAATAAGACTTATCAATGAACTGAAACTAACAGACAAGCAGAATGAGCATAAATTTCGATCTAGTGCAACAACCTGAAGTGTCATGTACATCTTGAGCTTGCATTGTATCTTGGGATATCAAGCGAAGTTTCACCATAGCTATATCAAGCTGCACTCAAAAGAATAAAATGATTTTTTTTCAATCTTAACCATATAGAAGTATCACAACTTTTTTTTTTTTTTTTAAATAAATAAATAAATAATAATCTGAAATAAGAGTTTTTTGGGACTCACCCTTTCACACCATTGTGATTCAATATCAACAATCTCATTAATTCCCAGTTGAAAGCTAAAGGTTCCTTGTTTTCCATAGGCAGTTGAACCCTTCAGTTCAATGCAACTGCTGGAAAAAATTAACACAGACTCTGTATAATATGTACCACGATATACAACATAGCCAGGACAAACAACCGCCACATGCCTGTCACCCTGCTAGTCACACAAACGAACAGTCACAACAAAGGAAGACAATAGGCAATTGCGTGGTGAGAAGTACTCCTTTTTTCTTTCTTTCTTTTTTTGATTCATAGTGGTTAGAAGTCCTTTCTAAGTTTGTGTTCCAGCTAGCAAACAAGAAAGATATTGTAAACACCACAGAAACAGCAAAAAAATGTTCACATACATTGAAAATACGGAATTAGAGTAGAACAAAGCTTCGCATTATGGTAATTGCAACAGCATGATCTCAATTGATTTAAAATAAAACTTAAGGATTGAATTGAAGCAAAAGAGGCATTAACCACCTCACACCAACTAAAACAAAATGCAATTTGAAATTTTCATTTTTCCAGTCTTGTATAATTTTGTATCATTAGAGTAGGACTTACGTAGCAACATGATAGCTCATGATAATTTGAGCACATCCAAATCAAAGCCAAATCAATTTGTTGATTAACTAAATTCTTTAAACTCTAAACATCAAAGAAATTTCACAACTAAAACAAAAAATGATTTAAACATACTCATTATCTCAAAATTAGTTGATGGACATTCCATTAGGCTGTAACTAGGCTGATATATAACAAGAGAAGCATTTTGACTCCTGTTTAACCATGAAACCTAGAAATCCATCACTTTCAAGAGTTTCAAACAGTTGCAGAAATTTGAAGAGCTCCCAAGAAATCACTAGAAACAATGCAAGTTTTGGCAAAAACCATTGCAAGATGTTTAAATTAGGTGAATGTGGAATAATTTGCCAGCAACTTCTTGAAACTACAAATCATAGATAAAACAAATATTTTTGGGTAAATTGCAAAATACACACCTGTGGTTTGGGCCAATCTCAATTCGGTGCCTAAGATTTCAATTTGGACAGTTTAGTCCCTTAATTTTTAAATAGTGTCAATGTAGTTCAACAGTCATGCCATTAGCGATTTGAATGGAAAATGCCCATGTGAGCCACAAGTGCATTTTGCAATGGCATTCTAGATAATTGCCCATTTCCTTTATGTAATACCCAATCCATTTAATCTTATTTAGGTTGACCTAATTGCATTTATATATATACAGATTCATATGCATGACCTTCTCTCCTTTATTCCTCTCTATGTCCACCACTTCTTTGTTTATCTAATAATGGTAGCTACGACCACCATTCCATAATCCTCTCACCCTTAAACCCCCCTATCTACTCCACCTCTCTCTTGAAACAAAACCCTCCTTCAACGGCTCTAACACCACCACCACCCAATGCCAAACCATACTTCATTTCACTACCCAGCCTCTCTCAACACACTAGTCGGAATGGCTCACCATACATCTACATATATATACCTATTGAAATTTGGAACAATCCATGATAAACCCTAATTTAGTCCTGTTAGAATTTATCTTCACCTACACCACTACCACCTCACCTACTCCACTAAACCTAACCCACTACACCACTACCACCTCCACTTCACCTACACCACTACCACCTCCACTTCACCTACTACACCTATATCTCCTATATAAGGAGCCTCTCACATTTGTACTAGAAAAACAATCAATCTACCAATAATACATTATATTTTAACATGGTATCAGAGCTATAGGTTAAGCTCTTGATATTCTTCGCCTTCCGGCGGGCGGCAACTTTGCCTTGACCGCCCGCCGGACCTCAACCAATTTGAGACCTCCAAAAGAAGAATATAGTGTACCTTTACTTACTCTTCCACAGACCCAGCTGATTAGTCACCTTGCTTCAGAATACCCTCCTGCTGTGCAAGCGTCTTTCCAGTCTGATGCTTCTGGACTCAGCTTGGAAAAGATGCAAACTACTCAGGTCCAGAGGTACCAACGCGGTCCACGGGTTGCCGGACTTCCAGTTCGAAACCATCCCCAATGGCCTCCCTCCTTCAGAAGCCGACTCCACCCAAGACATCCCTCCTCTCTCCTTTCACCCCATTTCACTTCATACCCTTCCCATCATCAACTTCAATTAGCCCGATCGAGCCTCACAAAAACATACCCACACACAAACGTATATACACCCACTTATAGAGAGAGAGAGAGAGAGAGATGTCGGACTGGGGCCCGGTGTTCGTGGCGGTGGTACTCTTCGTCCTGCTATCGCCGGGGCTGTTGTTTCAAGTCCCGGGGCGGAGCAGATCCGTTGAATTCGGCAACTTCCACACCAGTGGTGCGTCCATACTCATCCACACCCTGCTCTACTTCACTCTCAAAGCTGCTCAAGAGTTTAGTGTCCCTGCAATACTCTTCTGGACACTCAGTGCTTTTTGTGGGTTCTTGGCTTGTGGCAGAACACTTTAACAGAGGGTTTGATCAACAATGGTTGTCACTAACATTCTCAAAGGCAATATTTCTTGGCAATGGTCTAGTTGCTATTGTCGCTGGGTTGTTCGGAAACCTGCTAGTTGATAGCTTGAATCTTGGGCCTGTAGCACCTTTTGATGCTGCTGCGTGCTTTCTCGCCATTGGGATGGCCATTATCTTATCGTAATGAACTGAGAACTATGGAGATCCTTCACAGAACAAGGACTTGCTTACCCAATTCAGGGGTGCAGCTGTGGCCATTGCTTCAGATGGAAGCGGAATATTGGGTCTCAGCCTTGACTAGCAAACCCACAGAAAAAATTCAAGAAATGGAGATGATTCTCCGAGCCCAACCCCAGCACATACACAACCCCCACAACAGAACCCCTTTCTTTTCTTTTCTTTATTCTCCACTCACAAAACATTATCATCACTTTTGCACCTCCCCCATGTTGCTCCACTTTCTTTCTTTTCTTTTATTTTATTTTTTTTATTTATTTCTTTTATTAAAAAAAAAAAAAAAAAAAAAAAAAAACAAAAGAGGAAAGACAAATGCAAAACTCATTATATTCAAATATCGGATGTCTGCACCCGATCACATTTTAACACAGATCGCTTAAGTCACGAAGATCAAAAAAAAAAAAAACAAAAAACAAAAACAAAAAAAAAAAAAAAAAAACAACCACACCCACAGTGGGATTTTTCTTTTCCCTTCTCTATTCTACTGCAGGTCTCTTCTTCTTACTTTTATCTTGGGTGTCCCCGTGCAAGTCCGTCTCGGTGTTTCTTGTCCACAAGCAAGTTTCTCCCTGCTCTCCACTGCGCATATGGCGGCCTCCAAATCGGAACATCAACGGTGGCCTTGCGTTCAGCTCCTTGTTTTCTGCCCTTAGCAACGCTTATTCTGCTCGCGCATCTTATACATGCGTTGAGCAGAGCCAGCTGGGAGTTTAAATGCTGCACCTCATTTGTCCTACTCTGCAGCGGTTGGACAAGTTTGTACGCCGTCATGCTTTCACACATGCTCTAGGTATCATGATTGTGCTCCACATCTCGACTGCACTGCCATTCTTGCTCCGACCGCATCGGAAAGTTCAACGGAGCAAACTCCGGGGGCTTGGTTGAGGTTCCAGTGCCACGGCACCGTTCTCTCTCTCGTTGACTCATTGAGGTGGGAAAGAGGGTGAGCAGCCCGCGGGAAGAGATGAAGCCATTTTCTAGGCAACAGTTGTTATAACAGAATCTCTCTCAGAATATCTCTTAGAATATCTCTCGCAGGTTTTTTGCCTCGCTATCGCCTTTTATAGCCGAGCAAGCCACGCGCATGCGCGTCTTACGCCGACAAAGCTGGCACGCCTTTTTACTGGCAAATTTTGATAAAGTGGGCACGCCTTTTGATGGCAGCGTTTGAAAGATTGGGCACTTTTGATTGGGTGCGAACTTTTTAAGGGTCGGACAAGATGCTCTGTAAACTGTCCGACAATCAGATTCCAGGTTTAGTTTCTACAAGGGTCCGACAAGACTCTGTAAACTGTCCCGAATAGATTCGGTTAGTTTTCAAGGGTCCGACAAGACTTTAAACGTCCCCTGACCGAGTTCTAAAAGGTCCGACAGCTCTGACCTAGCCATTGATTCGCGGTTGTAAGTCGAGGCGCTTATGCGATGTACGTCGACATGCAAACTTTGTAACTGTCGAACATTGATTCGGTTAGTTTCTACAAGGGTCCAAGAAGACTCTGTAAACTGTCACAGATAACTGTCACAACTTGTGCTGCTAATAGGTTCCGACCATACCATAAGTCTACATCGTCTGATCAATACGAGTGTCTTACCGAGTTATGGAAACAGGTGTCTGTACAACGTTATGAACACCAAAGTGTTTACCACGGTCTGACACGACCATACAGTGTCTCCTATCCTTTTTTTTTTTAATGTATTTTCTTGTTTTGTTCCTCTCTTCAAACTCAAGTTGGTTCGTTTCTATCCTCCTTGAGTTTGCGGGGGGCTGTTAGAATTTATCTTCACCTACACCACTACCACCTCACCTACTCCACTAAACCTAACCCACTACACCACTACCACCTCCACTTCACCTACACCACTACCACCTCCACTTCACCTACTACACCTATATCCCCACACTAGATTGCTTCTGCCAATGTTACGCCATTGCCACTCCCTATGTCACATGGACTTGAGTGTGGGTTTCAGGTGCAAGTAGAAGTCAGATCCATCAAACCTCAAATTTAAGAATACACAGACTTGGCAAAAAATGGTCATATTTTTTAATATTTTTGCTATATTACATGAGATAAAATTGTGTTATATGTAATTCACATTGTCAAAAATGTACTTTACTAATTTTATAACAATTATACAACAATATACAAATAATGATAGTATTAAATACAAATATATAAGAAGTGTTTAATGGAAAGTATCGTACACATATCTCGCACTGTCCAAGTGTTGGGTGTCTGACATGGGCATTTGACTTATTTTAAAGAGTCCATGTAACATAGGCCACTCCACCCCTATAACACCATCACAAGATAAAGATTGATCCTACCAATTGAGAGAGACAGAGGGAGAGAGTAAAGAAAGAGAAACAAACTTTCCACCATGGTAAGATCAACGTTGACCCACCACAAGCACCACCTCATCAACGCAAGCGCACTAACGCCCTTGTCCTTTAGAGTCCTAAACACCAAGTTTATTGCCACCCTCCTTTTTCCTTTAAGTGACCATCATCAACCACACAAGAAGCAAATTGGCCCCTGCAACAGCGTGGGTTTCCTTTTACACTACCTATAGGGTTTGCTATGGTCATGGTGTAGGGTTCCACTACCTTGAAAATCATAAAATTGGAGCACCAACAACTGAATCACAACCGCCACTAAATCAGCCTCAAAGAGAAAGGGTTAATGATGGCAAATGAGTGAGAGAAGATAGAATGGCGAGGAAGAAATGGTTTTGGGAGATAGAGAGAGGTTAATCTAAATACACATACAATTAAGTCAACCCAAATAAGATCCAAATTGATGGGTCTTTCACATGTTTGCGTAAAATAGTCAATTGCCTTTATTACAATGTCATGTTAGTCACATGATTCATTCGTTCAAAATCCTAATAGTGTGTAATAATTACATTGACACAATTCAACAAAAAGGACTCAACTGTCCAGATTAAAACTATAAGGACCAAATTGAGATTAACCATAAACTATAAGGGTATTCTGTCATTTAATACATCTTGTGCAAACAAATTGTTTCTTATTAAATTCATCTTATTCAACATATGTTATATGCAGGTGAAGACATAATAGCGTCAAAAGCAACAATTTAAGAAACAAATTGGCCTTGTTTGGTTTGTGTTTCTCAAAAATTTTTGGGAAAAATTCTCTACAAATAAATTTTCAAAAGTAATCAAACCAAACAAATTTTTCCAAAAAAATTTCTCAAAACTTGTCTTGTTTGGTTTACAAGTTTTCCAAACAAATCTCTCTCTCATACACATCAAATCAATCACTTTTTCCAAAATTCTCTCTCAAAATAATTTTCCAAAACATCTTTTGAAAAAAACCAAACCAAACAACTTTTCGTACTTTTTATCTCTAAAACTCATCTCCCAAACTCAAACCAAACATACCCATTGTTTCTCAAATCCACTTTCCATTCCTAGCAGGTGAAGATATGATAGCGTCAAAAGCATCAACTACTCCCAAGGATTTAAATGGCACTGCTGAGAAATCCAGATTTCTCAAATAGAGGAGAAATTATTAACTAGATACTCTAAATAAATTTAGAAAAAATATATATATATATATATTTAGTGATTTAGGCAAAGCAGAAAAAGTTAAACAAGAGAATAAGAAATGACAGATAGAAATGCAGGTAGACCAACTGTAGAGCATGGCATGTCCAAACTACATTTCGAATTTCATACATGCAGAACATAATTCTCTTTCCACGGCATTTTGTAGTCAAAGTAACACAATTGATTCAAGGAAAGAGAACACAATGAGAGTGATTACCATGTCCCAACCACCAAAGCAATGATCAGCTAATGGCCCGTGCCCATCTAACGGACCTGCAAAGACATAACAAATTACAGTGAGAAGATCAAGGTGCGTTCCACAGATAACCACAGATAACCACATAAAACATATGGCAAGGAAGAAAGGTAAAAATCACAAATGCATTAGAATTTACCATCTCCTGGAATATCATCAGAAGTTGATGGAGAACTCTCACTCATGCTTTCATCAGGTTCTGGAATCACATCAACTGACTCATTCTGCAAAAAAATTTTGCTTAAATGACCATTTCTTGATAAATGCATTCTCAGCATAAATTAGTAAAAAACATAAAAGTTCAATTACCGTAGATGGAGTCTCTTGAAGAGCACAATTTAATTGGCTGTTTCCAGGTGAATCTGATCCAGGGCTTGAAGCTCTTGGTTCCAGTTGAGCATAAGAACTTTCAGGTTTGAGTTTATCTGAAATAAATTGAGAGTGCTGTTCATGGCTTGTGGAATTAAATAGCAATACTTCATCCAATCCACACATTTGTTTGGTAGCAGGGTCTTCTCCTTCCATGCCTGGAGGGGTATATGAGAGAGCATTGTCACAATTGTGATCATTGTCATCCATTTCATTTTGTTGAAATTCAGTTCCCACTACAACTGAAAGCAATAGCCACGAAAATAAAAAATACAAGTAAAGCCACAGAGACATTGCCAATAACTAATTTCATATTTATTTCATCATATTTAATTTGAAAATGGAATAACAATAATAGAGTAAATAGCATGAGCAAGAAATATTAGACCTAGAGACAACAATAGAAGATCATAGCCTGAGAATGTAATGAATCACTTCATACATCAAAAGTTGTTCACCAGCACCAATAACTGAACTTTAATAACAGCCAGACAACATGATAAATCTCACAGTCAGTATGTCCCTTGTTCACATAAGCATATCAGGAACTTTGTCTGCAGCCATTACAAAACAGTGAAAACATAAAACGAGACCTGAGATGCAGCAGACAGAATGATGCACCCACTCACTTCATTGAAGCAGATTTTATTTTATTTTTTTGGACCAAAAGAAAACAAAAAATAAAAGACAAAAAAGCATCAGGTTATTAAAAAATAATGGAGATACAAAAAAGTCATCAACATGGGCCACAATGAACCTGTTAACTAAGGGGTCAAACAAAGAAATCATGGGAAAAATGACAATACAACCATTGAAACAAAATTTGAGATCTCACTTGTCTATACATCGACAATAGTCAGAGCTGGGGGGAAGGGGGGGACAACAACAACAACAACAACAACTCAACACTGTAGTTAACTGCAATTTAGCAGAGTGAAAATAATTTAAATGAAAACATCAAACTATTCCCACAATAAACTAGCTCTCACCCCTTACATCCCTTTTTGTGTTAGCTGCAATGCATCAAGAATGGACCAATGCAATGCAGCCTTGATACTCAACTTGAGCAGCTTGAGATAGAAGTCATTCATGATGTAATGTAATGTAATGTCCAATTTGATACGAGTAATAAAGATAACCAACACCATTATTCTACCGGTGATTCAAAACACATAAAAGTAAAATAAATAAAATTAAAACAAATAATGCTTAAAGAAAAAAATAAGTCTCCTAACAAGAGCTAATTTGTCACCCGTGAACTCATATGGACACCGCCCATTCGTTTCTATGTTCCCTAGGAAAAAGTAGGATGCAAAACAACACACATCCCCAAAGAGACTTTTGAAACAGATGAACAGCCATGCATACAACTTGGCACCTGAGTTCAATTTGAATTCTTACGTGTACCCATCAACGCATCAACTAGACTAGTGATCAAAACCGAGATGTCACACATTGAGGCCATCAAAGATACACTTTAGTCCTTTATCCTATGTTACTTGGCTTCATAATGGGTATTTTCATGTGTTATAGGTCAACCAAGCTTTAGATATGAAAAGTTACAAAACAAGTGTGAAAGGAAGGACTCTAGGCATACCGATCAAATTCGCACGTGCAATAGAAATGTCCCACACATGCGGAAGTCCCCAAAGAGACCCAATGCGCACCATCCAATTCCGCACATGTAGTGAAATTGGGTCACATGTACGGATCTACCTCAAGAAGCGCATTTCTTTTTTTCAAGTGACCTGAATACACTAGAGATCATATATAGGGTTTCCAAACTCAAAAAAAGAGGGCTCTTCAACCCGAGAGAACGGCAAAAGAGGCAAAGAAGAAAGCTTTCCAAGGTAAATCCATAGTTCACATCAACGATGGAAGATGCCACCTCTACTATGGACAACCAATTTTCCTCCTTAGAGTTTAGATGAACCCCTAGTCAAGTAATGTTGGGCATTGCATATATATGTATTTTGAGAATGATTATTTAGTCCTGAAAGTCGTATAACCTTGATATTTATTTTATCAAATTGGTTTTCAATGGCTATGTTTAATTTTTGTGATCTTAAATACAACGGCTATACAACAGTAATCTTTGTACATGTAATCAAGAATTGAGAGAATATATACCTAGAGAAAATGAGTCGTGTATGACCATAGATTTAGCGTAGACAATTCATGCTAGAAGATAGGTTATACCTGATTGTTAATATATAACTTTTCTTGGATATCTCATCAAGGCTTGTAGCCACAATGAATCATAATCATGAAACTAAATTAATTTCTGCAATCAATGCAAAAACCCATGTTACAAGACTTTTGGGTTATTCTAAACCCTAAGCTTTATTTTCTCTTTAGGCCTCGTTGGCAACATTACTTTTTAGCCAAAAAGTCACTAAAAAAATCAAAAAATCAACAAATTATACCAAAAAGTCAAAAATTCCCATTTCTCACTGCTTTTTACACATCTTTTCCTAAAAAATCAAAAAGTCATCTCAAACATACTAGTTTTTTTATATCATATTTTAGTCAAAGAGTCAAAAAGTTACTAGAAAAACATATTCCCAAACGAGGCCATACTTTCACTTTTAGTTAATTTCCATTAAAAAATCAAACTCTATTTTCCGATTTAAGAAGCAATTTATGGATTTAAAGGACTCAACTTTCAGCCCTTGAGTTCCGATGCCTGCACTAACTGCTATTCTACACAATTAAGGTCATAATACATCATTATTTTTTATCGCAAAACAACATGATCACCTGGCATTACCAAAAATTCAAAAGCAAGTAGAAGACATTACGTAACCTCTCATCACCTCTAGCAAAACAAACCACATAAGATTTATGCCTACAATTCTCCATGAGGGTGTACAAATTGCATTCAGTGAATAAATTGTCAAAAATTATCATCCGAAACAGAAAACATCGCACAAGATTTAGACCAAGTCTTGTACAATAAATAATGACTGATTACTTCGCGATTCAAAAATCCTATCTTTGCATGAAAATGAATTCATTCCCATCCAGTATATCAAAATTATACAAGTTAAACCTTTAAAAGTAAATTCTCAGTTGACACACTTATCAGTTCAACAAGACATTTCAGTACGAGAAAGAAATCGCGAAATTGAATGCATAATTTATATGCAAAAGGCTCACCATTGGCACTAGGGTTTTTGAATTTGCTGACCGACTTGGCAGAGGCCAACTCAGGGAGCTTATCTTCCTCTTTGAAATCGAAGACGTCGGAGCTTTGACAAGAACTCTTCATCGCATATACAGAGACGACAAAAACACAGAGATCAAAGGCCGATCAGCTCGGGGATCGAAGATCAAACTAGGGTTTCGCGAGAGTGATCATTGGATTGAATGGAATTTCGGGTGGGAACGAATTAGGGTTCATCATAGATTCATAGAGAGAGAGAGAGAGAGAGAGAGAGAGAGAAGGGAGGAGAAGAGAAAGCATTGAGTTGGGAGTCTTCGGCCAATGTTTCTATAGTCACAGAGAGGAGGAATTATCCTGTGTTGCAGGAATTCCAACCAGAGTGAGCCTTCCAATTTTATTGGTTAGTTTATGTAATATATAATCAATAAAATTACAAGAATATATCATATGGGCGCTGGTTAAGTGTGCAACCCCCTTTAAGGTTGCACATCATATGCAACCCAATTGTTAGCCGTTAAATTACAATAATTGATAAAGATCATTGAATTGTTTAATCGTGAAAAAGTTGAAACCGAGACAACCGATTAATGCTTGTATTTGCATGATTGCATCTCACTCACTCTCTGTATTTCGTCTCTATCTCTCTCTGTTCTCCTCTCTGTGTAAGGTTGAGTCAGTGTAACCCTTGATTTCCATTAACAGCGAGAAGCCCCTACTGGGTTGGTTCCATTGACGAAGCTCTGTAGGGAACAGTATAACGGGCGATTTCCAACAACAACGGAACTACAAGGCTGTGTTGGTTCCATTGCTGAAATGAAGCCTTTTTCTCCAACTAGATATGAGGTATGGAGCTGTCTCCCTCTCTCTGTCTCTCTCTCTGTCTCTCTCTGGCCTCTTCACTTCAGCTATTTTCCCTCAACTAAACCCCCATCCTAACTCCAACCGCTCTACGCTTCGCTCAAACGGAAACCCCTCCATTAGCAACTAATCTTTCTCTTTCTCAAGCGAGTATTTGTGTTTGCACAAACAACTAAACCGTGTGAAAATGTCATGTTTGTGTTTGTGTTAACATTTTTCAGTCATCAAGTAATTGTCTGTACTAATGTCATGTGCAGTATGGCCCCAGCGGAAGTTAAAATGGAAGGTGATGATTATGACATTCCAAATGAAGCAGATGACATTTGTTTGATGAATGAAAGTCGGGCAGAACCTTATCATGGTTGCGAAGCTGGTCCGAGCAATGAAGAAACAACCAACATGAACGTTGAAGATGGTGGAGCCGATGTGAAAAAAGAAATGGTTGACGATGCTCATCGAAATGACATGGTTAGTGATGTTAAACGTGCTATTCTAGAGCAAAAATTTGATTCGGTCGAAGATAGATAAGCTTTCTACAATGCGTATGCTAAAGCCAATGGATTTAGTATACGAATATCCAGATTTAACACAAATAAAGAGGGAAAGGTTGTCAGTAGGCTATGGTTGTGTTCAAGGGAAGGTTAGAGATTACCAAAATACTTGGACCGTGTTGCTGAGAAAAGTAGAGCTCCCAAGGCACTAACAAGAGTAGGTTGTAAAGCCCAATTTCGTATACGGTACGATGCAGATGTTGGTGAATGGGGAAAGTATGTTGTGACTCACTTTGTCGCAGACCACAACCATGAATTGGCGGAATAACACTGTGTGATGCATCTGAGGTCACATCGCAGTTTAAACAGCGTTGACAAAGCTCAAGCAATGGCTATGCGCAACGTCGGTGTGAAGACTAGCCAAATCATGGACTATATGGTAAATCAATCCGGGTCTTATGAGAATGTTGGTTTCATCCATACGGATCTGCACAACCATATTCAAGCCGAACGTAGAGCAGAAGTTGAGGATGGTGATGCGCAGGGTACGTTGGTTTACCTATGTGCAAAACTTGATGTTGATGCACATTTTTTTTACAAGTATGACGTGTGTAACGATAACAAGTTACAAAATCTGTTCTGGGCAGATTCGAAATTGTGGGCCGACTACGCAAAGTTTGGTGATGTGTTGATATTTGACTCAACTTACAGAACCAATGCATACAAGAAACCTTTTGTCATGTTGGCTGGTGTGACTAGCCACTTTAGGACCACGATATTTGCATGTGTTTTGCTAGCTAATGAGACAATTGATACATACACATGGGTTTTGGAAACATTTACGGAGGCGATGGGCAATAAAGCACCTGTGTCTGTACTGACAGATGGGGATAAGGCGATGCGAGAGGCAATCAGAAGAGTATTTCCAGACGCAAGACATCGATTATGTAATTGGCATGTTGGGAAAAATGTTGTTTCAAATGTTCACAAAAGTGGTTTTGCACATGCTTTCAAGCAGTGCATGGACATGGAAACGGATGAGACAAAGTTTGAGCATGGCTGGACGACAATAGTCGAAAAATTTGGACTTCAAACCAACAGTTGGGTGTTGGAGACACATGAGAAGCGTCATATGTTGGCTGAGCCATATATGCGTGGACATTTCTTTGCTGGGATGAAGAGCACTCAGCGCTCGGAGAGTATGAATGCTTATTTTAGTCCCTTCCTCCAACACAAATTGAAGTTATATGAATTTTTTAGGCACTATGATCGGGCTCTTGCAAGGATAAGGTATAATGAGGCTGGAGATGATGCTGAAACAAATAACACTTTTCCGGTATTGATTACTCCATTGCGAGATATAGAGAGACATGGAGCTGAGCTATTCACCAGAAATATATTTAGAATGTTCCGTGATGAAATCTTAGAAGAGGGGAAGTTGAATGTCAAGGACGTGTTCTCTTTGTCGGATGGTCAGAAATGCTACTATATTCATAAGTACAAAGTGAAGGATAGATCATGGATAGTAACACATAGTCCAGTGGATGCTGCAATGAGATGTTCTTGCATGAAGTTTGAGTCGTTGGGGCTACCTTGCTGTCACATGATATATGTTATGAAAGCCGAAAATTTAACGCAAATTCCCTCAACTTGTGTGCTGCATAGATGGATAAGGGCTGCAAGTAAGGATGGCCAGCAATGGCCTCAACCCTCAATTGATAGCACTACAACACAAACGGCCCGGTATGGGATATTGAGTTCTTCCTACAATGAAATGTGTTTCTATGCCTCGCAATCAACGGAAGGTTTCAAAGAGGCTAGGGATGCATGTCTTTCGATGACGAGCCGGATGAAGAAGTTATATGAGAGGAATCTGAACGATGGGAATGGAAACAAAGGGAAACATTCATTCCCTCGACAATTTGGAGTAGAAAATTCTAATGTTGTGAAGACAAAAGGAAACCCGGAACGGGCCTCGTCCAACTGTCGAAGACTAAGAAAATGTGGGAATTGCAAATGCATTGGGCACACAAAGCGAACGTGTCATAAGTGTCACGACCCAAACCCACCCCTGTAGGTTTAGCACCATAACCGGCCAGTAATCCGTGGAGTACCAAAGGCCTCTGAATAGATTAGCAAATAATAAAGGGCTACAAAAGCAATAATACAAAATAGACAAGGTCCAATGAGCTGTGATAACGTACATGGGACAGAACATTTCAAAACTTATTTACATATACATAAACATGCCAATCCAGATACACAATATTCATAAGGTATTTACAGAAAGTACTTCCCAAGACCTGACTTTACAAAGCATACACAAAGACTAGCATGATAACAAAAAAACAGCCATGGCTTTAAACTTTGTTCGGAACCTCCTCGGGAGGCACAACAGTTGGCTGACAAAAACAAAACAGACGGCCGTCAACTCTGGCCCTGGTCACATGCCGGCTCACCTACATACATAATATAAACTGTGAGCTAAAGCCCAATGAATAATAACAGAGTAAAGGATTTAATGAATGATGTCCATCACAGAGTTAGAAATCAAATTCTTAACAGAGACAGATTCATATACATATTCATAATCATTTCCATATTCAGATTTCGCATATAATCATACGTGGTACATCCCTTAGCGTTAACAAATTCGATGGCCCATAAAGGGACGGCCTCGAAGGCATTCTGATGACTCATGTGCACAGAGACGTTTCTGATGACCCATAAAGGGACCTGATGACCCATAAAGGGACGCATATCATATGATGCTAAAGATGCCACGAATAACTTTCAGAATTTTAGACAACCATTCATTCATTTCAAACATAGCATGGCATTTCAGAGAACTAATTACTTCGTTTCATAATATTTATAAAATACTTAACATTAAACATAACTTTACAAAGTTATTACTCACAGATGATTGGTAGCCCTAACTAGATGGTAAGGCGGCCCTTCACTTGTTCTGAGGCGCGTGACCTACATGAACACACAACGGACACACACTTGAAACACACATTCTAATTGCACAAAACTTACGTCGTTGGTTCTTAGTGTGTTTCTAACCTTAAATCCTCACTATAGAGTCTTAAACATGGCCTAGGAATGCCTAGGATGGAATGAGGATGCAAAGATGCCTTGGAAAACATTTTTCAAAACTTGCTGAAAACAGGGGCCTTGCTCGAGTGCAGCTTCCTCCGCTCGAGCGAGCTTGTCAAAACAGAGGGGTCCCTTAAGTGTAGACTCCTTCGCTTGAGCGGTCTGTAAAAATGCAAAAGTACTGGTTGTTGAAATTTTACGCTCGATACCCGCTCGATGCTCGCTCGAGTGTGAGACACAGCTCTTCGCTCGAGCGTAGGTCTTGTGGCTCGAGCGTGCGTCTACGTGCACCAAAAACCTGAGAGCTTGCAATTTACGCTCGAGCCACCATTCCTTCGCTCGAGCGAAGCTCTGAACAAACGATGGTCGCTCGAGCATGGAATCCTTCGCTCGAGCGAGGAAGCCAAATTCTGGAATTTTCAGATTTGCCTCCCAAGCTCAAACCAAGCATTCAACACCTCAAAACTCGACCTCTTGGGCCCATTTTCTGGAAAACACTAGCAAACTCAAAGTATAAGATGTTTCAAAGATCAACATGTAAAATCAAAGCCCAAGGGTGAGTCAATTAAACACAATTTCAAATAAAATAAAATTTTCACTCATAATAGTGGGGAGGCCTACTTCCAAAGGGATTACTGCCTCCATGCCGCTGCGTAAGGTCGTACTTCCCGAACAACAACAAGGTGGTCGCCGAGCTACCTTGTCTCTTACCTCGGCATGGACATCATCTGTGTCTTTCAAAGGCCAAGTTGTGACGATGGCGAACTCCATTTGTGTGGAGAAAGACTATCTGCTGGCTTTCAACTTAGCCAAGAATGTCTCCTTGCTCGCTGATATGGAGCACCATGCACACTTGACTGAGCTGAAGGCAATACGAACCATGTAAGAATTAAACTTAAATGCACAATTGAAAGGGGAATCTCCTACCTTAAGTCTTGAATTCCAAGCCTAGAAGCTCAAATATGCAACTACTCTTCAATTCTTCCAATTCCAAGCAAAATCTCTAGATGAAATCAATCTCCTCCCTCACTCCCTCTCTCTCACGGTTTAGGCAAGGAAAAGGCTGAGAATGGTATATGAATCAAGTCTAAACAATGTATGAGAAAGTGGCCTACTCAAGGGCAATGATGTAATTAACTTGAACTAATGTAATTTAGCTCATTTAATCCAATTTAATCATACCAAATCAAATTTCAACTAAATTTATCATAAAATCACATTAATTCTAATTAACACAAAACACTAATCAGTTTCGGATTTGGCCGCCGATAAGGCCTTCAATTAGCAGTTTAAAACATAAAACATGAACATGTCATTTTATGGCAAACAGATAAAAGCACAAAGATAATGCAATACATATGCAATTTAATTTTGTATTCCTTCTAAATTACTGTTAGGCATAAATAATCATGGTTTAGCATTAATCGGAGGTCGGGGTTATTACAGTCTTCCCCCCTTAAAAGAGTTTGGTCCTCCAAACTCGAATTACCTTCATTTGAAATCAACATTGGGTCCAATGGGAACAAATCCGGATATCTCTTCATCATGTCTTCCTCGGTTTCCCAAGTTGCATAGGTTCCTCCATGGTTTTGCCAATCAACTTTTATTAACGGTATTTCTTTATTTCTCAGCTTTTTGATCCGGCGATTCACAATCTAGATAGGTCTTTTCTCATAAGTGTAGTCATCCTTCAAAAGCACATGTGTCGGTTCAATGACGTGGAGTGGATCCCTTAAATATTCTCGTAGCATCGATACATGAAAGATGTTATGCATGTGTTCCATTACTGGAGGTAAGACTACCCGATACGATACCAGATTGATCTTTTCGAGGACTTCATAAGGTTCAATATATCTTGGCGCCAATTTTTCCTTAACACCAAACCGAGTTTGACCCTTTATCGAGGTCACCTTTATAAACACGTGATCCCCAACTTCATATTCCCTCTCTCTTCTTCGAACATCGGCATAGCTCTTCTGCCGACTCTGTGCAATTTTCAGGCGCTGCTGTATCAGTTTCACTTTTTCGGTTGTTTCTTGCACAAGTTCCGGTCCCAATAAAGGTCTATCACCTACTTCAGCCTAACATATCGGAGAATGACATTTTCTTCCATACAAAGCTTCGTAAGGAGCCATTCCAATGCTTGAGTGGTAACTGTTGTTGTACACAAATTCAGCTAATGGCAAGTAGGTCTCCCAATTCCCTTGGAAGTCTAACACACACATTCTGAGCATATCCTCAAGAGTTTGGTTCGTTCGTTCAGTTTGGCCATCTGTCTGTGGGTGATAGGCACTGCTTAGTCTCAATTCAGTCCCTAAAGCCTATTGCAAACTCTGCCAAAATCTCGATACAAACTTTGAATCCCTGTCAGACACAATAGATACTGGCACTCCATGCAATCTCACAGTTTCAGTCATATAGATATTGGCCAATTTATCAGCGTTATAAATAGTTTTGATAGGCAAAAACTGGGCAGACTTAGTTAAACGGTCAACTATAACCCAGATAGAGTCCATATCTTGTGAAGAACGAGGCAATCCCACAATGAAGTCCATGGTAATGTGCTCCCATTTCCATTCCGGTATTAGGAGTGGTGGTAGCAAACCAGCAGGTCGTTGATGTTCAGCTTTAACCTATTGGCAATATAGACATCTAGCCACGAAATCAGCAATACTCTTTTTCATTCCAGGCCACCAAAAATTCTATTTCAAATTATGATACATCTTCGTGTTCCCCAGATGTATAGCAAATTTACTACTGTGAGCTTCGGTCATAACACGTTTCCTCAAATCATAACAATCGGGCATACAAAGACGGTTCTGAAATTTCAGCACATCATTCTCAAACACAAATCCCGGCCTCGGCTTTGAATCAAATTCCTCCGTGATCTTTTTCAAGTATTCATCCTCACACTGTTTCTGTTTGATCTCGTCAAGAATGGTGTTGAAGCGGCGGATAACCGTTATAGCCCATCTTGTTCTAGGTCAAGTCAACAATCTTTTCGGTTAGATAGCAAACAGGAAAATTCGCACTGGATTTTCGTTGCTCAAGGACATCTGCTACAGTATTAGCCTTTCCTTGGATGATACAAGATCTGCAAATCATAAAATCCTTGGATTAACTCTAACCATGCCTCTGCTCAATATTCAATTCCTTTGGGTGAAGAAATATTTCAGGCTTTTAATGATCGGTATACAACTCACAAGTTTTACTCCATACAAATAGTGACGCTCATATTTTCAAAGCAAACACCACAGCCGCTAAATTCAAGATCATGTGTTGGTAATTCTTTTCATGAGGTCAAATTGGTCTAGAAGCATAGGCAATCACTCCTTCGTTATTTGCATTAGTCCAACACCCCAAGCCTTTATAAGAAAGCTCAACTACACAGCTTAAACCCATCAGTACCATTAAGGCAAGGTTAAGATTGGTGCAGTTACTAACTGGTTTTCAAAAACTCTTGGAAAGCCTGCATCTTTTTGTTCATTTCCAAGTCAAATGGACATCTTCTAAGTTAACTGAGTGCAATGGCATGCGCAAGCTTGGAAGTTTTTCACAAACCTCCGGTAGTAACCTGCAAGTCCTGAAAACTTCAACGACTTTGTCACATTGTCGGTCTAGCCATCCACGAGCAGCTTCAATTTCTGCGGGTCAACAGAAAAACTCCATCCTTGTTGATCACATGTCCAAAATGCCCACCACTGTCAAGCCATAAATTCACCTTGGACAAATTTAGCAATAACAATTTCTTTTGCTTCTCAAAATCTGCAAGTGGTTCTTCAGATGGTTCTTATGTTCTTCTCTGCCTTTAGAATAAATTAAATGTCATCAATCAAATACAACGATGAAGTCATCCAGATATGATTTAACACCCATTCCATAAGATCCATGAAGCTGCAGGTGCAGTTGGTCATCCCAACGGCATTACTAAAAATTCATAATGTCATATCTAGTTCAGAATGCAGTTTTTCTCATATGTCCTCAGCTCTAAACCTTTAAATTGATGAAACCCGGGCCCGAGGTCAATTTTGGAAAACCTTTGGGCACCCTGAAGTTGATCAAACCTAAGTCATCTATTTGGGGCGGGGTAATTTATTCTTGATAGTCACGTTGTTTAGTTCTCGGTAGTTCTATAACACAATCTTAAAGATCCATCATTCTTTTTGACAAACAAAACTGGAGCACCTAAGGTGAAAGTAACTCGATAGATAAATTTCTTATCTAGTAGTTTCCTAAAGTTGGGTTTTTCAATTCTTTCAATTCAGAGGTAGACATTCTATAGGGAGTCTTGGAAATAGGTTGCGTCCCCGGAAACACCTCAACAGTGAATTCAATTTCTCTATCAACTAAGTCCCCAGGTAAGTCAGTCGGAAACATATCGGGAAATTCATAAGCAACAGGGATTGTTTCTACAGTAGTACTGTCAGATGGTGCAGTCAGTATACAACACAGATAACCCTTACATCCCTTCCTAAGGAGTTTTACAGCTTTCATAGCCGAAATCAAATATGGGGGAGGAATTACCCCATTCCCAATAAAAGTAAATTTAGGCATACCCGGTGGTCTAAACATAACAGTTTTATTTGCACAGTCAATGGTAGCACAGTATTTAGTCAACCAGTCCATCCCCAAAATACAATCAAAGTGATTAATATCCAAGGGTAATAAGTCCACATATAACATCATATCGTCAATCATAATATCACATGCAGGATAAACATGAGCACACATCATAGAATCCCGAGACGGCGTAGATACAGATAACACATATGTCATAAATTCTAATGGTCTAGTCAATTTAAGAGAGAAAGCATGCGATACAAAGGAATGTGTAGAACTAGAATCTATTAATACGCATGCATCTTGAAAACATACAGGGAGTGTACCTGATACCACGGTATAGGTGTTTGGTACGTCACCAGGCACTAAGGCGAACACTCGACCCTGTCTCAGGGGTTCTTTCCCAGTATTGGCCCTCGTATTCGTCTTGGATGCAGAAGCGGATCCGGTTGAGCTTGCCGTTGGTTGGTTAGTATTTTCGAACCTGACAGGACAATCCTTCATCATATGACCAGTCTTTCCACATCTAAAACAGGCGCCCAAAGCTTGATAACAATCCCTCTTGTGTTTCTTACCACATTCCAAGCAAGTCAGTATAGTACCACTACTTTGGCTTGAGCTACTGTAAGATCCTGTGTTTCGCCTCTTATTCCCAGAAAATGAACGACCCTTTTTTAAACTGTTTCCATACCTTTTCCCCGTCCAATTAGTTCGTGGGGCGAGAGTTTGTTTCTTCGCTGCTAAAATGGACTCTGCCATTAATGCCCTATCCAAAACATTCACGTACGTGGGTAGGTTCAGGACTCCCACCCTATCCAGTATGTCCAGATCCAATCCACCCTCAAACTTGTGGGCCTTCTTGTAGTCTGTGTCCATCATGTGAGGAGCAAACCTGGCCAACTCAGTAAACTTAGCCTCGTACTCAGCTACAGACATTCTGCCTTGTTCTGGAATTCTGAAACCTTTCGGTCTCGGAAGCACTGGGGAAAATACTTGTCATAGAAGATTGTATTGAATTGAGTCCACGTCATATTCTCGTGGCCATTTCGAATCAGTAACCACCACCTTCGGGCTTCATCCTTCAGAGTATAGGTGGTTAGGAGGACTTTCTGGATTTCAGAACAAGGGGACACCTCATATAGTTTCTCTATTTCAAGTAACCACGTCTCTGCTTTCAACGGTTCAATTCCACCATAGAATGTTGGCGGTTTCATTTTCATGAACTTCTGTGTCAAGTTGATGACGTCACTGGTGCCCATTTCAACTTGAGCCGGCAGGGGTGGAGGTGGTAAAGGTTGTTGCCTCTGTTGTTGCATTACCACTTCG